ATCCCTAAAAGTTATTTTTAGAACGTTTTTTTTGAACAACAACGAACACGTAAACTGAGATATAAGTTGAAGTATTTTTATACAAAATTTCATAAAGATTGATAAAGGCGTTTTAGAGTTAAATTTTTTTTACTTATTATGCGTTAATTTTGACGCGCAGTGCATGTTGGAATTTCTACTTCGAGATTAAGTAAAAAATATGCCCGCCGAAATCATTTTCGCAAGAACGCGACGTTGCCGCATTTCTCCCAATTAATAGCGATTGTCGCGCCATCTGGCAAATGACGCCGGAATTTCCGGGAACTCGAAACAGCTGCTCTTCTCATCGTTCATTCAGACATATTCTATTTAGTTTTTTATTTTTTTTAATTGTTGATTGAATTCATAACAATTTATACATGGTACAGGGCGTGCGACCAAACTTTGAAATTCAAGCCCGATATAAAAATGGTCAAAATTTATCGGAACGCCCTGTATATTGCACAGACCAGAAGCACATCTGCGGCCAATATAAAATTAACTTTTTTATTTACACCTAGAGAGACAATGAGGGTTTTCATTTTTTTATCGCAGTGGATCGTCAAGTATAAAAAATTGTCTTGCAACAGAAAAAGTCACATATGTAGTTCAGATGGCGCTGCGAGACATAAGACCGCGGTGAAACATAGAACTAAGAGTTTCTAGGCGGTGAAATGAACTACTCACATATTTAAATATGTTTTAGAAATTCAGAAATTATTCTTATGTGTTAATTGGATAAAAAATATCATATGAGAATTTTTATTCTTACATCTAACGTTTAAAATTGAAAAAATATTATTGTCAATGAAATGAACTTGAGCAATTAAGTACATTAAAAATATAAAAGTTATGTTTGAAAAAAATTCAAAAATAAGAAGCAAATACCATCCTGTTGTTGTATTTTGTATTCCAATTGGTGGATGGGATTGGAAAATGAATTTCCACTTCCACAATTTAACAATAGAACTGTCAACAAAGAACAAAACGTGACCACGTTCTGAAAATTTGGCATTTAAGGCTTTTCAGGTTATGAATCTGTCAAAGTATAGTCAATGAAAGAAATAATATTTATAGTGTTACCGCTTATGTTTAAGCGTTAAAAGTTAATAAATCTTTATAGTATCACAATAACAATGGTTGGTTTAATAATTTAGGAATATAAATCCTGCATTTAATGAAATTCCAAAGTGTAAGGTGCAATATAAGTGATATTTTTGTGCGTTGGGTCCACATTTTTCCATAAAATAGTTTTAACTGAACAGCATTTATTAAAAAAATCTAACTTCTCTATTATGAAATAAGAATATCTGTATCAAAGGTAGCTTAATGTATTAGAAAAAAAATTATCATCTAATTTTGTATTTTAAGGTTAGAAAAATCTATGTTGACCAAAATAAATAAGTGGATTATTATGGTCATAAATAAATATAGGTATACTAAATAATTGTTGAATATGGTTCAAATTAAATTGAAGCTTTTATACTTCTAATGACAAAACTTGTGCATACCTCTCGGCATACCTACTTTAAGTTAGATTATAAGAAAACAAACAATTTTTAGAGAAACTTGCAATGTGAAAATATTTAATACTCCCATGACATGTGATTTATTAAAATTTTTAAAGTTATAATGATTTTTTGATGTAGATCAAGTTCAGTTGAAGCTTTTTAACTATTTGTATTGACAAAACTTTATGTAGGTACACTTTAAGCTGGATAAGAAAAACTACCACATTTTTAAATACCATATTATACAGTCTTTTAAATAATCCAAAATACTTATTTTGGTAAAAACCTTAAAATTACAAAATTAGATGATATTTTTGTTATAAAATATTAACCTACCTTTAAAACAGATATTCTTATTCCATAATAGAGAAGCTAGATTTTTTTTAATAAATGCTGTTTAGTTAAAATTATTTTATGGAGAAAACCAGATATTTGGACCAAATGCACAAATATATTACTTATTTGGCACCATACACTTTAGAATTTCATTAAATGCAGTATTTATATTCTTAAATTCTTAAACCATCCATTGTTAATGTAATGTTATAAAGATTTATACATTTTTAACGCCTAAACATAATATTATTTCTTTCGTTGACTATACTTTGACAGATACATAACCTGAAAAGCATTAAATGCCAAATTTTCAAAAGACTGCGTTCCGTACGTGGTCACGTGGTGGGACTTTGAGGTGTGGATCATAGAACATGAACTCGGGAGTAGTTCATTTCACCGTGGTCTCGCAGCTCCCCAGCGGCTAGATTAGACACGATTAGAGGCGAAGACTGTATTTAGTAAGGCAAATTTTGCACAATAACTAAAATCCTTACATATAACGTTTAAAATTGGAAAAATATTATTGACAATGAAACGAACTTGAGCTAAAAAGTACATTAAAAAACATAAGGGTTATGTTTAGCGTTATCATTGTAAAATTATTCAAATTAAGTTAAATAAAACATTACCAACTCGAAAAAGTTGCCCTGACTAGAATAGAAATGCTGATCAAAAGAAATATAATAAACTTAATATTGTTTTATAGTAAAAAGCTAAAATTAACATTCTTAATATAATATATGGTAAAAAAAATGTTTATTCCACCAAAATAACCAAACCCTGCCACTATCTCTCGATTAATATCACAATTTTGGCCAAACTCACACAAAATGTAATTCCCGAAAATTCCGTCGCGACTTTTTAGCGTTATCTTTCTATCCTTAATAAATTACATACTGTCGGTGCCTCATTTTTTTTCGCCTCATAGCACACCATACATATTTGGGTGCCAGAACTCATATATAATATAATAGGGTGCTTTTTTTTCACGACTATTTTTATATTTTCGCTCAAAACTCAAAATCTTGTTGAAAATGTTAAAAAAAATTCCCTGAAAATTTGAGCCTCAAAGTACTCGACCAAAGCGTTTAAAGATTTCCCATTTAAAATACACGTAAACTTTGATTATTTTTGTTTTAAATATCTAGGTATATCTCAGCCGCATTTTATGCTATTGGATTGTTTCAAAAAAGGATTTACTCGTAATCAAAAGTTCTACAAAAATGCTTTATGTACCATAGCTGTAATCTGCACCTGTAGGATGGTACGGGTCAATAAATCTTATTTTAGTAAAAAATTATCATATTTTTGAAGATATTTTCAAAGTGACTGGATTCTTTGAAAAAATGCAAAGAACAAACTTGTAGAAAATTTAATTTTCTTTAAAAAAGGTCCCATCAGTTGAATCGCTAAGATTGATATTTGTTGAGATATAAAGCGTTTACATTGACAATTTAAGAAATTTTTAGGATTTTCGTACCAAACTTTTTATAAATGATGATTTTCAATTGTTTTTGTACAATTTCATGTAATTACTTTTTTTCTACAGTCAGGTGATTAGAGAAAAATAAATAACTAAAACAATCAAGCATAATTATTAATAAAATATCATATTCTATGTAATACACCTCGTTATATCAATTTTTAGGTTAGATATATCTTTTCTCTTTAAAGTTATGTTATGAATAATTATGCTTGATTGTTTGAGTTATTTATCTTTCTCTAATCACCCGACTGTAGAAAAAACGTAATTAGATGAAATTGTACTGATAAACAATTGAAAATCATCATTTATAAAAAGTTTGGTACGAAAATCCTAAAAATTTCATAAATTGTCAATGTAAACGCTTTATATCTCAACAAATATCAATCTTAGCGATTCAACTGATTTCAAGAAAATTAAATTTTCTACAAGTTTGTTCTTTACATTTTTTCAAAGAATCCAGTCACTTTGGAAATATCTTCAAAAATATGATAATTTTTCACTAAAATAAGATTTAGTGACCCATACCATCCCACAGGTGCAGATTACAGCTATGGCACATAAAGCATTTTTGTAGAACTTTTGATTACGAGTAATCATTTTTGGAAATAATCCAATAGCATAAAATGCGGCTGAGATATAGATATTTAAAACAAAAATAATCAAAGTTTACGTGTATTTTAAATGGGAAATCTTTATACGCTTTGGTCGAGTACTTTGAGTTAATATTAAGGGCTCAAATTTTCAGGGAATTTTTTTTCGAACATTTTCAACAAGATTTTGAGTTGGGAGCGAAAAAATAAAAATAGTCGTGAAAAAAGCACCCTAATAATATAATGTATATTATTACACGGTGCTGTTCTGAGAGGTGATTTTCTATGAAACCTAATTTTTTTTTATATTCTTGTTAATTAGGTCATAACTAAAATTTTAAGAGCAAAATAAAAAAAAATAGACGGTTTGAATTGTTTTAATTGGCTGTTTATTAAAAATATTATGCACTCTTTCAATTATCCAATTAAAACTAGCGATTTAATTTAAATATTTAATATTTGCATAACTAAAAAAAAGGTTTTTACAATTTTTTTTATATATTTACGTTCAAACTTCACTTAATTAATATATCCTTAAAGGTTGCCATGAAACTTAGATCTATTAAAAATTTATTTGATGTTTGAATTGTCATTTTCAGTATACGTATTCTATAATTTTTGTTTAGTTTTTTAAAGTGTTTTTTATAAACAAAAATGAAAAATTGTAGTAAAAGTTACGAAGAAATTGATGAAATTTAACTAAGGACCGGTTCATTCATCTTTAGTAAAGTTTATCGGGCCGATAACTTTCATGTCTTGGCAATATCTAGTATCCAAATAAATTATTCGTCAAATAAATCGGCCCTAAATAAAATGTGGCACCCTTAGAATTATTGTTTAATAAATGTATACTACATTTAACCTTAAATTAAAGCTTTAAACGTGTAACAGTAAAAGATATAAAAAATGTATAGACCTTTTTTTAGGAAATTAACTAATCTTTAATCTGATTTAAAAAGTTATGATAATATTTAAATAAAATCGCAAGTTTTAATTGGAGAATTGAAAGTGTGCATACATATTTTTAATAAACATCCAATTAAAATAAAATTAACCGTCAAATTTTTTTTATTTTGCTCTTAAAATTTTAGGTCTGACCTAATTAACAAGAATTAAAAAAAATTAGGTTTCACAGAAAGTCCAAAAATCACCTCTCAGAACAGTGTGTATTATCGTAATAATATAAATAACAACAACGATTTTTTTAGTTGATTCCAGGGGATAGATAGTAATTTGACATTTATAATAATATTGATCAGGGCGATGTAGAACGCTTTTTTTGAACTCGAGAGCTAAAACGTACGTTAGAGAGTATAAAATAATAAAAATCGTCTAAAAATAAAAAACTCAAGCGTTCGAAAAGCGTCCGCCACGCGGCCCCGACCCGATCGCTAGCGACCGCTTAATCGTACTTGAGGAATCCCTTGTCCTGCGTCTGCTGGGGGGGCGGGCGCGGCCACTGGCCGCCGTCCTGCGATTGGCCGCCCCCGCCCGACATCCAATTCAGGAAGCCGGGGTTGTTGCCGCCCCCTTGGTTGCCGCCGTTCTGATTGCTGCCTGCAAATCCAGAGGGAACTAGAAAATGCCGCGAGGGACGAGAAAGAGAAGATGCGCTTTAGATGAGGAAAAGCGATGGGAAAATAATAGATGCAAGGTAACACTGGTTAACAACGATTGGGGTAGGTAAATTTTTTCTGACCTATACTTTTTATGGTTTTATTCAAGGCGTTTTGTAATTTTAAACATTTCTGTGAAATCGGAATTTCAATTGAGTTTACCGTTTTCGAGATATTTACAACAAAAAAATCTCCTAATTACGTCACTAGGCTATTGACAACGTTGCCAGCTTTTTCTATGGTTGCCAGTGTGTTTAGTTTAAGATTCTTACGATAGATGGCGCCACGTTATAATATTTTAGTTTTAAAACCACTTGATCTATAATTTTAGTTGAGAAGAAGAAGAATTGATTTTTTGACGTTTCTTTTTTTCGGGTTATGTTTTTTTTAATTATTGAAAATCAACGTTATTGTTATGTTATTTGTAATTGATATTAGATAAGTGATTTATTAATAACGGACTCCAAAGCAGAGGAATCTTGTGGAATGGTTGGTTACATTGAACATTGGAGCTTTTAAACAAATAAAGAAAGTACCTTCCTATAATTATAATCATATTTTGTCGTAAATGCATTTCATTAGTATAATGCCTAGTTCTTTATATTCTTTTAGATATATCTTAAAATGTACTCTAGAGTGTAGTATCTTCGAGCAGTCCAAAAGTTTGTCATACATTTTTTTAATCTTACAAAAGGTTTTGATGCTCATCATCAGGGATGCAAGTTTTATAAAAACTATACAAAATATAATAAATACCATTGTTAACTTACATTTACTGTTATTTTTGGTAAATTTATCTCGTTTATTTTCAGCTTTATTTTGCCACTTTTTTCTATGAAATATATTAAACTCTGCTTTAGACAGTTATTAGGTACCTATTTATTACATTTTATTAGGTTTCACACGGTGTTTCAATGTGTAAACCTATCAATAAAACTTTTAATTTCAGAATTTTCTTTAACCTCCTCTTCTTCTTCTTTCACTCAACTGACAGTGACAGTATTTGTACATAACCTCTTCGGGTATTTTCTGACATAACCAAATGAAATCATTAACAAGACAACTTGACAACAGGGAAATTTTCAACCAATAGAAATCTTAGAATGTTGGTCACATGGCGAGGTTTGTGACGTCATAAAAATTTATGTTTTTTGTAAACATCTCGAAAACGGTAAACTCAATTGAAATTTTGATTTCACAGAAATGTTTAATATTACAAAACGCCTTGAATAAAACCATAAAAAGTATAGGTCAGAAAAAATTTAACTACCCCATTTATTTATGGTATACGCTAAAGAAGTATCGGGTTTTCGCAACGCGCGCGCCTTCTCCATTTAAAAATTGTGAACAATACATTTGAAGCATACGAACTGTACTATGCTCCACACCTCAAAGTCCCTCCCCGTGACCAAAGATAATACACCCCATAGATTGGAAACTACACTAGCGCTAGCGGCAAAAGGCTAAAGTAAATTAACGCCATCTAGGTCTACAATACCCTTAGCAATGCCAAAAATTGAAGAAGATTTCTGTAACATATTGGCGCCATATTTGAATATTGATGCTTCGTAGGGTGCCTTTATATATTGTATTTACTGCTGTATTTTAAATAAAACAAGTATGGATATCAGATTTATTTATTGTATTAACAATATAATATAAAATAAAATACATACATCTATATATACATAATATGTATACATGAATATGTTTTTGTTTGTGGAGTGCAAACCTAAAAAATATTAATCTTAATTCTTCAATAATAAGAGAATATAGCAAAATTTGGTAATTTAGCTCCTTATACGAGTTTAAACTTAACATATAGGAATTTGTACAAGGCTTTTGAGTGTGGACTTTTGGTTCTAACCAACCGTGAAAAATCTATCTTGCCAACTATTGGTTTTGAAACAACCATAAGTAGCCTGGGCTTGGCCTGGACTAAATTACCATTAAAAAAGCAATCCTAAATAATTCATAATTAACAAAAAGTATTTTTACGCTAGAGCGATACTGCCGTGCTAAGCCAAAAAGACGCAACTCCACATTTTTACTTTATAAATTACAGCGCTTAATTGTTTTTTTCAAGATACGATCAATTTAATAAGAAATTTTTAGGAGCTATAGTACTTAAAATGTAGGTATGTATAGTTAAAATTTGTCTTTTTTTCTAAGAAAATAATTTAATAATAACGAGATGAGTCTTTTTGGCTTAGGACGGCAGGATAGTCAATACTTACAAATTGGTTACATTTCCGCACCCAACAACAATACATTTTACAACCATTAACACGTTTTATCACTTTTAAGGCGCAAAAATGTATTTAATAATTCAAAAATTATGATCGACATCAATAATTATGATTGACATTGACATTTGCAAATAGCGTTTGTACAGATGTCTGCAATTTAAAAATAGATAAAGTTCAGGTATTGTAGAACTAGAGGGCAGTGGTGGGAGAGTTTCCAATCTATGGGTGTATTATCTTTGCCCGTGACCACGTACGGAACGCAATCTTTTGAAAATTTGGCATTTAAGGCTTTTCAGGTTATGTATCTGTCAAAGTGTAGTCAACGAAAGAAATAATATTATGTTTAGGCGTTAAAAATGTACAAATCTTTATAACATTACAATAACAATGAATGGTTTAAGAATTTAAGAATATTAATACTGCATTTAATGAAATTCTAAAGTGATGGTGCCAAATAAGTAATATTTTTGTGCATTTCGTCCAAATATCTGGTTTTCTCCATAAAATAATTTTAACTAAACAGCATTTATTTAAAAAAATCTAGCTTCTCTATTATGGAATAAGAATATCTTTATCTTTATTTTAAAGGTAGGTTAATATATTATAACAAAAATATCATCTATTTTTGTAATTTTAAAATTATTTTGACAAAAATAAATAGGTATTTTGGAATATTTAAAATACTGCAGTATTCATGTATAATATGGTATTTAAAAATGTGGTAGTTTTTCTTATCCAGGTTAAAGTGTACCTACAAATAGTTAAAAAGCTTCAACTGAACTTGATCTACATCGAAAACTCATTATAACTTTAAAAAACTTAATAAATCACATGTCATGGAAGTATTAAATATTTTCACATTGCAAGTTTCTCTAAAAATTGTTTGTTTTCTTATAATCTAACTTAAAGTAGGTATGCCGTAAGGTATACACAAGTTTTGTCATTAGAAGTATAAAAGCTTCAATTTAATTTGAACCATATTCAACAATTATTTAGTATATTTATTTATGACCATATTAACACACTCTTCCAAATAATTCACTTATTTATTTTGGTGAAAATAGATTTTTCTAACCTTAAAATACAAAATTAGATGATATTTTTTGTTCTAATACATTAACCTACCTTTGATACAGATATTCTTATTTCATAATAGAGAAGTTTAATAAATGCTGTTTAGTTAAAACTACTTTATGGATAAATGTAGACCCAATGCACAAAAATATCACTTATATTTCATTAAATGCACTATTTATATTCCTAAATTCTTAAACCAACCGTTGTTATTGTGATACTATAAAGATTTATTAACTTTTAACGCTTAAACATAAGCGGTAACATTATAAATATTATTTATTTCATTGACTATACTTTGACAGATACATAACCTGAAAAGCCTTAAATGCCAAATTTTCAAAAGACTGCGTTCCGTACGTGGTCAAGTGGTGGGACTTTGAGCTGTGGAGCATAGTACATCATTTTTGAATAAATGGGTAGTTTTTTCACAAAAGAGAGGAAGGCAGAAGTCTTACTCGACAAATTTTGTTCAATTGCACAGCTAAATCGCGCACGTTATTTGTGTTTTACGTTGCAAGGAAAAAACTAAAAAACTGGTTTAGTACTCGATTTCGATTGATTATTCCATATATCATTGATTAAGAAACTTAACGCTTAAATGCTTATATATAGTTACGTTAGTGTGTGTATTTTATCAAAGGGATCATGGTGAAATATTGTGTTTTTAATCGTAAATAAAATTCAAGAACTAAATCGTTGCATTTTCATGTTTTGCCAAAGGATCCGATTCGGTAAGTACATTTGTTGGTGCAGAATTAACTAATGATAACTTTACCTAATACAATTTATATTTAAGTTTGGACATTTTTAAGAAATTAGTAAATAATAATTTTTGCACAAACATAACCTTAAAATCAACCATTTTTATGTTTGAGTTCTCTAAAAAACGCCGACAACTGCATTTTAAACGACAAAATATACCTACGAATTCATGGCAACATAATATTATATATAATACATAATATAATGGTATTTTACCGTTGAATGGAGACTTTAAAGAATTCTTAATAAACGCTTTTAATAATGCTAAATGCTGTTTAAATTTAGACCACTTATTTGTTTGACGATTTTTACTGAATTGAAATATTTACACTTTTCACGTTAATCACTACTAAAATGTGTATTTACTGTATCTAATAGGTACAATTTATATTTACAGAGACTGTATGCAATTTATTTCTTCATTCAGATTAACACTGTTTATTGGAAAACTGGTAAAAACTCCCAACCCAGGATTACCTCTCGAAATACACCCAACAACTTAACAAATTGATCCACGGTTTTTTTTCGACATTTTTTTTAACATTTCCGGCTTTATTCTCAAATGTAGCCTAAGCGTTTGACAGCTGATTATTAAAAGTTGTACTTTCGTTACGATGGTGCTACTAGCGATACTTCTTTAGCGTATAGGGTTGAGAAATGGAATTTATTTATTTCCGTCCCGAATTTGCCGTTTGGCTAAACACAGCCAACAGTAGAATCGTGACGTCACGTCAGTAAGATTTTTAATAATTTTTAACAAAAAATTGATGGCAAAAATTTCTTCAGTGACTTGAAAAATTACTTACGTTAAAATCACATACTAAAAAACTGTGTTAACCAGTGTCATCTTAAATGGAAACACACAAAATGAATAGCGAAAACAAATTTGTTTAATATATTAAAATAAAAAATCCAAAACATGTTTTTTTCTTCAAATAAATCCACAATCCAGACAACAAGGTCTGTTCTATCTCTTTTAGCGCTTACTAACTAAAAACCACAAAGTTAGGCAAGAGAGATTTGTGTTGTTTATACTGTTTTAACCGTTGTGTTTTTTACAATTTTTTGTAATATAATTATATATAAACCTTATTCTATCAGGACTGTCAAATGTCAATTTTATGGTAAATTAACCTTAAAATTGACATTTGACAGTTTGATGACAGCCCTGATAGAAAAAGGTTTATTCTTTACAAAAGGGGAGTAAAATTGTTGTCCTTGGCACTTAAAGGTTTCATTCAACACGTTTAAAACGATATTTAAGCTGTATAAACAGCACAAATCCAAAGCACAATAATTGTAAACAACATAAAAATAGCCGCAGTTGGATTATGTGCAGTGGGTTGCCTATAGGGTTGCCAGATTCTGTCAAAAAAATAAAGTACATTTTGTGAGAATTTACCTTAATTACAAAAAAATATTGTTATTGTGAATTTGACGTTACCTAAGTATTGTTGATTGTGTCATTTTTGTAATTAAGGTAAATTGTCACAAAATGTCCTTTATTTTTTTGACAGAATCTGGCAACCCTAGTTGCCTAACTTCGTGATTTTTAGTATGTGCGAAACGAGATGTGTGGAATGTGTATATATGTATATTTTGATGTATGAAACATAAAAGAGTCGATTTTAATATATAAATAAACTAAAAAAATTTAGTATGCGAAATAAAAAAAGATAGATGACTGTAAAAATTAAATTAGATTGAAAACATGATTGGGACACTGGTTTTATGTATGTGGGTCGTTTCACCAATGAATTTTTTGTGGGGTGTGACTTCTTTCTTTATTTAAGTAACGGAAGACCCTAAAAAATGCAATCAAAGTAAAAATGCGATTTTTCCAGTCTTGCGGCAATTTTTGTTTCAAATAATTTAGTTTTTCTACTCCCACCTTTAAAACGCCCTTTATCGTACATGTTTCTATGACACTAAGTGACCTTTTAAATACACAGTGACAAGTTGTGGCTTTACGGCGCTTTAGTCACGTGCTGAAGTTAGCAACAGGTTTTTAGTCACGGGCTGAAGTTAGTTTTAAGTTAGTTGACAGTTGTCAAATGTCATACAATCGTTAAAATAAAGTGCCTTTCTTGTAAAATAATACTAAATGTGAAAATTATTTTATTATCTCAATGCAAAAATATTAAATAGTTTCTCAACGCCAATATTTGAAAAGTTTATATGAACATTGTACTGACCTTTTAATTTTGCCGGCAGTAAACTATAACTTAAATTCGGGCACGGACTCCACTGTAAAGTCCTCATAAAACATTTCCTTTACTTTTACTGTGAAAAACTGTCAATTTTCAAGATACATTTCGATTTATAACCTTTATAATTGTGTTTATAAAATGTAAAAATGTGACATTTGACAGTTTCCCCTGTTGTTTCATAGATGGCGCTCTATACAAATTTTTGATTTAAATCATTTTAAGATAATAATAAGTATTTGTCGAAGAAAAAGTATAGTATGCACCTCGTTTATAAACTTTTCTATACACTCATTAATTTAAGCACTCGCTCGCAAGCTCGCTCGTGCTAAATTAAATTCGTGTATAAAATGGCGTTTATCAACCTTGATACATAATATACTATTATATATCTGTCAAATTAACGCAAATTGAAAAATAAGACAAAATTAACGTTAAATTGACAGATGCATAACCTTAATTATTTGAAAAATTGACGTACAATTACTTTATTATTTAATTGTAATTAAACAAAAATAAATAACAACATCGTAAAAATTAAATATTTTATGTAAAAAAATTCTTTCAGAAAAAAACAATTGCCGTAAAGCCAGAAAAATAGCATTTTTCACTTTGATTGGATTATTCAACAAAAAACAATACTGATTGTATTTTTATAAAACTTAATTTACACCCAACAAAAATAACGAAAAAGTTTTAAAAAATTTGAAAAATTATTACATCGATAGTATTATTTGGTGAAATGACCCATATGTAAACTATAGTAACTTTTAAAGTAAACACTAATATTGAAGATTTCCAAAAATAAGTTTATTATTATTATATACAGTTGGTCCCAAAATTGGAGGCTCAAAAATTTGTCTTGGAATTTCAAGAAAAATTCACCTTTAACCTTTGGGTCGCCAATTTTGGGACACCCTGTAAGTATAATATACATTGTATATATAGTAATATTTTTATATTAGTATTTTACACAGATATGTATTATACATCAAATTTACTGGATAAAGTAAATAAAATTATTAACAATAATCAAAATTAAATAATTAAAATCTTACCGGTATTGTTGTTGGGCCCGTTGTTGAATCCCTGGTTGAAATTGGGTTCCGGTTGGTTTTGCAGGTTGCCTATCAGTCCCCAGCTGGCCTGATTCAGAGCGGCAGCAACCAGGGCCGGATTGACGGGCAGCGTGCCCAAATTCAGGCCCAAACCCAACGGGTTGCAGTTCTGTTGGTTGCTAGCTTGCTGACCCTGTCCTGTGATACCTACAGGGGCCAAACACCCAGAGTTATTTTTTTTGGTTTCGGTTTTAGCCCAAGCGACCGGTCAAAAGTTAGTTTGGTCTCGAGCAAGTGCAATGTTTCTGGTTTCTTGATGGTTCAAAGGAATTTTTTGACGTTTTCTTTGTGACGAGAGAGTTACGACAATATACATGGTGTGATATTTTTAACTGGTTTTAAGTATCAGGGAAGCAGAGGTAGTAACAAAATTTATTTTGAAGACACAGAGGTTATGTAATTTATTTTGACAACTATCTCCTTGACATGGATATCAAATGAAGGATTTTGACAAGAAGAAAACTCGTATCATTACTCTAAAACACGATTTGTATCACCTCCAGTAGATTTACTCCTATTTAGGATTTTAAAATTTCCGGAAAAATTGAGCCTGAAAAAAAACCGGAAAAATTGGGAAATTTTCAGAAAAATTGACTTTTTTATTTATTAAATTTTATTTAAAGGGTCATACGAAAAAATGCCAAACGGCCGTTTCAAGTGCGCAAAACGTATTAATTAATATTTTGGCATCAAAATTGTTAAAAATATTCTTCTTTTATTAGGCTATCAATTAAATAAAAAAAACACAAAAAAATATTTTTTAAAAGTAGAGATAATTTTAATAATTGAAAAAAAGATTTATCTTGTCCCGTCCACACCTGTCAATTATTAAAATTATCTCTACTTTAATAAAATATTTTTTGCGTTTTTTATTTAATATATATTTTTTCGGCCCAGTCTACTATATAGTAGACTGGGCCAAAAAAATCGACTATTTTTTTTTCAAAAGTATATCGAAAATATGGTTTGGGGTGACAAAATAAATATTGTGTCCATAATATTAATATTATTAATATTAATATTAAGAGGTATATCATCGCAATTTTAATTTTTTTTCCTGAGCGAGTTTTTGTCTTAGAACTCCCAAACCATTGAGTTTAACAAAATTGACTCAAAGATATTTTTTGAAGAAAATTTAATGCTCTACAAAAAAGGTTTGATTGGAATTTCCCGTCAGATGAACCGTTTTCTTACAATCATGCCTTAAAAATTGGTATAGTTTTACAATTTGATCTTTTAACTTTGAAATTTTGTAATTCATGTAAAAATTAGAACCCGGAAAAAATCCAATGAATATTCTTATGGGAAATCAAATGCTCTACAAAAAAAGTCTCTCAACATTTTTTGGCTAAATTCACTCAATCAAAACTTATTCAAGGTTAAAGTTGAAGTCAAAACGAAATTCTTGTTTTTTCCTCTGTAGATTTATTTTATTATGGATGATAACTAATAACTAATTAATAATTTCCAAAAAAAAACATGATTGTTATTATTTAAACGATTAAATAGGTGAAAATATTATTTTCTAAAAAAAAATAGCTTCTTAATGCGAAAAAATTCGAATGTGTTTTCAGTAATTTTATCAATAACATAAAGATTATCATCAATAAAAGAATTCAAGTTTTTAACTGACCCAAAAAAAATCTAGAGCGGAAAAAACAAGAATTTCGTTTTGACTTCAAATTAAACCTTGAATAACTTTTGATGGAGTGAATTTAGCCAAAAATGTTAGGAGACTTTTTTTGTAGAGCATTTGATTTCCCATAAGAAATTCTTATTAAGAATATCTATCGGTTTTTCTCCAGGTACTGATTTTTAAATGAATTACAAAATTCCAAAGTTAAAAGATCAAATTGTAAAAATATACCAATTTTTAAGGCATGCTTGTAAGAAAACGGTTAATCTGACGAGAAATTCCAATCCAACCTTTTCTGTAGACTATTCAATTTTCTTCAAAAAATATTCAATTTTGTTAAACTCAATGGTTTGGGAGTTCTGAGACAAAAACTCACTCAGGAAAAAAAAACCTAAAATTGTGATGATAGACCTCTTAATATTAATATTATGGGCTCAAACTTTCACCATAATTTTTTTTTGTCACCCCAAACAATATTTTCGATATACTTTACAAAAAAAAATAGTCCATTTTTTTGGCCCAGTTTAATGTATAGCCTAATAAAAGAAAAGTATATTTGACAATTTTGATGCAAAAATAATATATAATAAATTACCTACAAGTTCTTTTATATAAAAACAGTTTTGTGCTTTAATAATAAAAATAAACACATTTATTTACCCAAAATTTGTACATTACGTCCCGTCCGTATGCTTGACAAGTCGATTTTTCTGAAAATTTACAAATTTTTACGAATGATATCCGTACACTTATTCATTTGACTCTGATTTATAAAATTATAATTTTGTAATTTAACTTTATAAATCATTCTTTATTTGGTAGTTGGATATTTTTAATGGACTCCTTTTTGCAAAAAGACCCAACCAATAGGTATTTAACGTTTGCGTTTATTTTCTTAAATCAATTTAATATAATTCAAAGTGTAGTTATATTTTTTTTTGTTAGATAGCAAATCTAACCTACACTTTTATTGTGTTTTGATCTTTCAAAATTAAGTAGATATTACAGCTCAGGTTCCAGATTTTTAACCGCAATTAATTATTTTCTAAAACCTATCCTCCGTGACTGTTACTCCTTCTAGGTTAACCTATGCTTTCAAATCTCTGAGGTAGTAAAAGCATACTAAAAATATCAGTTCACTAAGTAAATTAAACACATCCAAAGCAATCGAATCAAATATAAAATATTATTAAAAATTAAAAGAATTAATTTTTATAACCATTTATGTACGTGTTACAAAAATTGATTCTATCCTCCGTGAATCTGTTTTTGCTTTAAATTTTATGCAAAGGATGGCACTTTAATCATTTTAAATAAGCAAAAACCTCTGTTTAGACATTATAGATGCATGTGATTCCTGAAGGTCAGTTAGAATTTATATGCAGATGGGAGTGTTGCTGTTTTATAATTCAAAAGTTTAAGTTCATTAATTTGCTATTTAAAAACCTATCCACCGCGAAGTGTAATATCTCAGTAAGTAGATTTTTTAATAAATATTTTATGTATGTAGAATTTTATTTTTTTTTAATATTAAGGTGTCAAACGATATAATAACTTATTTCAAATATACAAAGGGATGTTAAAAAAAAACATACGTGAAGCTCTAATTTTTTTCGGCACTTTAAAACCCCAATGATGTGTCACACAATTTATTTTTATTGTCCCATCTCTCGTTACAAAAAAAACGTTAAAACACATACAAAGACTTCCCATGCTTGACAAAATAGTTCAATTTTTTGCTTGTTATTAGTTTTTGTTTAGTTTCCCCCATAATTGTTAGTCAATTGTTGAAATTCTTGAAATACTTCATACTTGCTTTTTTTGTCCATTTCTATGTACACACCATAATTTGAATATTATGCAAGTGATATGCGAAACTTTTATATTAAATAAAAAAGTTTTGCCCACCACCAATTATACTCACTCTAAACATTCTTAGTTTTAACATTCTCTATAAATACATCCCAACACAATCATTTATTGGTCATATATACATACATAAAACATGTTAGTAATAAGTATCACATATTTAACATTATTTAACAACATACAGCAAGTTTCATAAAAACAGCAAACGTAGACATTCAACTTTTCATACCTTCACTTTCCTAAAAATATTGATAAAATAAATGGGTATGTAACTAGATGCTTCTTAAAGGTTTTTTATGCTTTACAATAGACTGGGCCAAAAAAATTAAATATTTTTTTTTGAAAAGTATATCGAAAATATGGTTTGGGATGACAAAAAAAAATAATTGTGAAAGTTTGAGTCCATAATATTAATATTAAGAGGTCTATCATCGCAATTTTAATTTTTTTTTCCTCAGCAAGTTTTTGTCTCAGAACTCCCAAACCATTGAGTTTAACAAAATTGACATGGAAATATGTTTTTAAGAAAATTAAATGCTCTACAAAAAAGGTTAAAATGAAATTTTCCGTCAGATGAACCGTTTCCTTAAAATCATGTCTTAAAAATTGGTATAGTTTTACATTTTGATCTTTTAACTTTGGAGACTTTTTTATAGAGCATTTGATTTCCCATAAGAATATTTATCAGTTTTTTTCCGGATACTGATTTTTACATGAATTACAAAATTCTAAAGTTAAAAGATCAAATTGTAAACCTAGACCAATTTTTAAGGCATAATTGTAAGAAAACGGTTAATCTGACGGGAAATTCCAATCAAACCTTTTTTGTAGAGCATTCAATTTTCTTCAAAAAATATTCAAAAGACAATTTTATAAAACTCAATGGTTTGGGAGTTCTGAGATAAAAACTTGCTGAGGAAAAAAAATTTTAAATTGCGATGATAGACCTCTTAATATTAATATTATGGACTTTCACCATAATTTTTTTTTGTCACCCCAAACAATATATTCAATATACTTTTCAGAAAAAGAAATAGTTGAATTTTTTGGCCCAGTCTACTTTACAATGTTAAAAATTCTACCAAAGAACTATGTCGTCGTTACTTTTAGATTTCCCTTACCAATGTTAATTTAATTAATTTTAGATTGATAGCATACCTCATTATCAGTACTTTGCACCAGATTTCCCGGGGTTAATAAAGGAGGCAGGAGTTAGGAGGTTAACTAAAAAGGAAAGGAAACACCCATAGGTTTTATAATAAGGTTATAATAAAGAAAACTTAAACTTTCTCCATAAAAAGTACAAAAATAAAATTTACACAAACTTAATTGAACAAACGTAAAAAAATTTAAATAACCCAAGTTTAACTTTGTTAATGGTAATAAAAAGAAAAAAAATATGGTGCCTGCCAATTTATAGGGATAGCTCGCAAACTTTCTTTAATTTTGTGAATTTGTAAAACAACATTACAAATGAAATATTTCGAAATATTTATTTGAAAAATTAGTTACATGTACAATCCTTGTGTTCATGTAAAGTTTAGCTAAGACTTATCATACTCAACAATTTTCAGAATTTATCAGAATAGTACATGTAATTAATTTTTCAAAACTTTTGGGTGGATTATTACTACAATCCGTATGGATGATTACCTGAAAATTCGGGGAAAACTAGTTTTCTTGAAAAAATATTAAATTTATAACATAACACTTTTGTGGTTCAAAAATGCATGCTAAAAATCACAACGTTAGGCAACCCACTACACAGACTCTCTTGTGCTTTTTTGTGCTGTTTATACAGATTAATAATCGTTTTAAACGTTGTGTTTCTTACAGAGGCACTTGTAAACCTCAAATGAGGCCTTAAAATGCTAAGAACAACCATTTTATTGTCGTTTGGTAAAAACTAACCTTATAAAATAAAAAAAAAGAAATTTTCATCAGGAGTGTCATCAAACTGTCAAATTTAAATTTTAAGATTAATTTACCACAACCCAAAAATTTACCACACCGCAAAACTAACCTTAAAATTGACATTTGACAGTTTGATTGGTATGAAGGTTTATTTTTTTACAAAAGAGGAGGAATGGTTGCCTTTGGCACTTTAAGGCCTCTTTTAAGGTTTACAAGTGCATCTGTAAGAAACACAACGTTTAAAACGATTATTAATCTGTATAAACAGAATTGTAAACATAAAAATGGCTGCCGTTAGAGTGTGTGCAGTGGGTTGCCTAACCTCGTGATTTTAGGTATGCGCGAAACGAGATAGAACAGATTTTGTTGCGTGGACCATCAAGAACCATCTTGAAGGACGGTTCATTCAAATTTAAATATCTTAAATTATTTTTTTGTTATCACTGGTAACAATGTGACATAACCTTACTTTTTACTTGTTTGTACCAGAGACTGAACTCTGGTTGTGTTTACGCCCTTATCAAAAAATAAATTGTTTTATTGTGTTTGACTGCTGTGCTTGGCATTTCTTGGATTTAATGCTGCTAATTGAAATATAGTGCAGACTAATAAATTAGTTTACTTGGGGTGTTTAAATTGCATAGGACACTTTGTAGTATATCAAAAATATTGTTTGGGGTGACAAAAAAAAATCATTGTGAAAGTTTGAGTCCATAATATTAATATCTATCATCACATTTTTAATTTTTTTTTCAGAACTCCCAAACCATTAAGTTTAACAAAATTAACCCAGAGATATTATTTTAAGGAAATTGAATGCTCTACAAAAAAGGTCTTAATGAAATTTTCCGTCAGATGAACCGTTTCCTTAATATCATGCCTTAAAAATTGGTATAGTTTTACAATTTGATGTTTTAACTTTGTAATTTTGTAATTTATGTAAAAATCAGTATACGGAAAAAACCGATAGATTTTCTTATGTAAAATCAAATGCTCTACAAAAAAAGTCTCTTAACATTTTTGGCTAAATTCACTCAATCAAAAGGTATTTCAGTTTAAAGTTGAAGTTGAAATTCTTGTTTTTTTCTCTGTAGATTAATTTTTTTATGGATAATAATTTAATTTTTTTCTTTACAAATGTGTATTATATAAGTAATTAACAATTTCCAATAAAAAACAACATTATTATTATTTAAACGATTAAAATTTAATAACAGTGAAAATGATATTTTCTAAAGAAAATAGCTTCTTAAAGCAAAAACATTCGAATGTGTTATAATTTTTGATTAATTTTCAGTAATTTTATCAATAACATGAAGATTATCATAAATAAAATAATTCAACTGACCCAAATCTACATGAGAAAAAACAAGAATTTCGATTTGACTTCCAGTTTAATCTTGAATAACTTTTGATGGAGTGAATTTAGCCAAAAATGTTAAGGAACTTTTTTTGTAGAGCATTTGATTTCCCATAAGAATATCTATCGGTTTTTTTCCGGGTACTGATTTTTACATGAATTACAAAATTCCAAAATTAAAAGATGAAATAGTAAAACTATAAAATATAAATTTTTAAGGCATGATTGTAGAGCATTCAATTTTCTTCAAAAAATATTCTCAAGTCAATTTTGTTAAACTCAATGGTTTGGGAGTTCTGAGACAAAAACTCGATCAGGAAAAAAAAATCTAAAATTGCAATGATAGACCATTTAATATTAATATTATGGACTCAAACTTTCACAATAATTTTTTTTGTCACGCCAAACTATATTTTTGATATACTTTACAAATAAAAATAGTCGATTTTTTTGTCTGGAAATGTATTTCAATTAGCAGCATTAAATTCAAGAAATAACAAGCACGGCACCCAAAAACAACAAACACAGCAACAGACAATACGTCACCCTAATATAACAAGGTTGTATGTTAAAAAACCGAAAAATTTGAGTTTATACTTCTACAAGGTTTTATGTAATCCACCCTTGACATACAACTTGAAAATAACTCTATATATATGTATACATAGAATTTACATTCTATAGAATTATTTTTAAGTGGTATGTGAAGCCTAGGCCACGTATAATCCTGTAGAAACTTAAATTTTTCGTTTTTTAACACACAACCTTGTTATATTAGGGTGACGAATATGTAAAAAGTAAGGTTATGTCACAATCACAGATTATAAAACAAAAAAATCATTTAAATTTGAAAGTACCGCGCTTCAAGCTGGTACTTCCGGTAGCCACTAGAGTCGCCACCGTAGTAATTATGTTCCCTACTATGCCAAAAGCGAAAGAAAGTTGCGAGCAAGCCTCATAAAAAAGCGTAAAATTTGCGAAAATAAAAAAAACAAAGTTGAACCCTGGTTAATTAATAATAATCATAATAACAAAAATTAACTCAAAAAGCTCATAAATAAATGAAAAAATAAAACATCAGAGCACGAAAAAACCAGTCCCACCAATAAGTGTAACCGACGAACGGCAGCGTTGCCGGATCGGCGCGATAAAAACGACAGTTGCACTCACCGAGGGCCTGCAGGTTGGGCATGTCGATGTTGCCGCGCGGACCGCCCTGGTTGCCCCAGTTGCCCTGGTTCGGGCCCGGGCCGTTGTAGCGCTGCTGGTACATCCCCTGGTCGCCGGGGCCGCCCTGGCCGCCGCCGCCCCCGCCCCGGTTCGGGCCGCCGTGGCTGCCGCGCGGGTCGCGCGAGTTGTAGCCGCCGCCGCCACCGCCGCCGCCTCCGCCGCCGCGCGTCTCGGATTTCGGCGCGGCGTTCGACACGTGCACTGAGACGCCTGCGGAAGATAAGCGGCAACGTTGTATAACGTCTTAAGGTAAGTTTTCATGCATCCTTTTCACCGTTTTTATGGAACGCTGTTTTACCATTTAATAACATAGAGCAAATTGTTATGTTAAATGGTAAAACAGCGCATCTTTAATAGTAATCAAACGTTTCACTATTTAATAACTTGCAATAGGGCTATATGGAAAAAAGTAAAGCTTTTATGGAGAATAGTACATTCTGTAACAAGTTTGGAATACAGCATATTCCGCTCGAGGAAAAATTTGACACACGAGCCGAAGGCGAGTGTGACGGTTTTACGAGAGTGGAATATGCTATTCCAAACGTGTTTCGGACATTATTTTCTCTACGACTACGTAAGAATAGTAACGCTTATATAATTTTAAATAGAGAAAAGAAACCAAGCAGTTTTTGACATTGTTTTTTGTATTGTCAAACCATTTTGTGCCGTCACAATTTTATAATGTAAATTATAATAAATTTAAACAAATGGTATGCCTAAATCTTTATTATAATTAAAAATAGTTATTTATACTAACTAATAAAAAAATAACATTGTAACAAATACAAAACAAATTAATCTATGCCAACATCTATTCTTTTTCTACATTTTAAAGGTCTTTTTTTAAACTTTTTGAATCTGTCAAAACTTCAAAGCCGGTATAGTAGGTAACTGGTTTATCATTATAATATCAAATTTATTATAATTTTGATTTGTATATTTGAAAAACAATAAATATAACTAATTTTTTGTGCCTAAACCTTAATTATACAACTGCTATTATTTTTTAATTAATAAATAATACAGTAATATTTAAATATTTTTAAATTTTTTACGTTTAGTAAACAGCCAGGAGATGTCGTTACTTGTGACCATTCTTAAACAAGAGTAGGAATATTCTCGCACAGTATTGCAGAAAAACATCCTTTCTATGATCAAAAATTACACTAGAATGTTACTATTCTTAAGTAGTCGTAGAGAAAAGGTATATATTATACATACTTTTGGCAATTATCATAGGTATGTTGCAAAAACCCAAAGAGTTGTATTTACATTAAAAGATGTCACTAATAGTTTTGTAGACTTGCAGATATTGTATAAATACTTATTGCAACACTTAAATCAGGGTGGAAGAAGAAGGTGATATAGCTGCTATCTCTACAGTACAGAAGCAAGCGTCCATATAACTCAGTATTTCCATATAACTAAGGTTTTACCAACGAATCCCATATATTCTATTCAACTTAAATTTTAACAATAAATTATAAGATAACGAAAACTACCCTCCTTAACGAAAATAACATCATCATCATCAACAGCATTATTATAATAATTTGCAGAACGATTGGCAATAATATAGTATTGCCAATCTGCCAAAATGCACAGTCGCCACAAACGTACAAAAGTGACGTTGAAATGGTTTTATTTGAATTTTAATTAAACTTAGTGGTCTATTCTTTGAAGTAAATCTATGCGATTTTACTAAAAATGGGAAAAGTTTGTTGTGTACCGGGATTAAAACGTCAATGCGCCATCTATTGAGACTTTTAACAAATACTTAGTTATTGGGCCGCGTTCCGGGATAGAGATGTATCATCACCTCCTTCTTCCAACCTAACTTGAATGTTGAAGAAACTTTACTCAAAACACAAAAAACACTAGATTTAAGGATTTTAAGGTTTTGTCTCTGGTAAGACAATGCTTAATAGTTATTTTCCTAACAAGTGCGCAAAGTTACATTTTCCCGCACGCTACTGCAATTGCACGAACGACGCGAAGCGGAGTTCGGGCAACCAGTAAGTGTGGAAAAGTTATTTTGCGCATGTGTAGGAACAATATTTTTTCTACTAGCGTGCGCAAAGTTAGAGCCGTTTTTTATGTTCAATATTTTATTTGATATATTTTTTTATGGGGCATGGATTCTTCTACGAGGTGTGTTCAGAAAATAACGGGAATTGTTAAATTTCGCGGGTTCGGAGGGTCCGGTTGTCATAAAATTGTCTTTATTATGTTGGTATACATGCCCCCAAAGTATGATAAAAACTTTAGCTGTTTTCATTGTTTACTTTGTCTGTGGCAGCCGCTAAGGTTAGACGTGTTTTATGAGCTCGGCGATTTTTCGTTCGTTAAGAGTTTACAAGTGGTATAAGAGTTTCCAAGATGGCCGTGAAGACGTTGAAGATGACGAACGCCCCGAACGCACAAGCACATTAACAACCGATAAAAACATGGAAAAAGTGGAAGAAATGGTTATAAACCATCAGAGAAGTCGCTGATGATGTTGGTATATCGATTGGCTCATCCCATGAAATTGTTTCAAATGTTTTGGGTATGAAACGCGTGGCAGCAAAATTTGTTCTAAAATTGTTAAATTTTGAACAAAATTTTTGGCCAAAAACAATGCTGTAATGATGCCCCAGCCTCCATATTCTCGCCAGACATGCCTCTGTCTGACTTTTTCCTATTCCCAAAAATAAAGAGAACCTTAAAAGGCCGTCGTTTTGCAAGCATAGAAGACATTAAAAGCGCATCGCTGAAAGAACTAAGGACTATCCCAAAGATCGAGTTTTAGAAGTGTTTCGAGTATTGGAAGAAGAGCTGGCACATGTGCTTAATATCCAATGAGGACTATTTTGAAGGCGACAACATTAATGTAGACGAATAAATAAATATTTGTTAAAAAAAACTAAAATTCTCGATATTTTCTGAACACACCTCGTATGTAGCTTTCGGCGACAGCCGTTGATTTTCAGCCTCCAAGTTGCTTAACATTGGAAATTCCTTCCCCAGAATCTCCGAAAACTATGACCTGTGTACAGTATTCTTTAGGATTTTTAAGTACCATCCAACCCAAAAATTTTGATCTTGAAATCTTTTATGGTCGGTATCCCACAATTTCCTTTTTTATATATGATGTTAATTTATAATATAGACTTAAATCCAAATTTTTATTAACTTTTAGGACACTTTTTAACATGGAGTACTTATTCCGCAAAATATTTGGCTGATATAATTTTCTTAAATCCGCATTGTCCATTTGTGGTTGCACCTGTTTTCAAAATGTTTAAATAATTTGGAGGCAGCAAATACTGTAAATGAGAATTTATTACCAGCGAAATCCTGTCAAAAATATGATGTCATATGGTAGCTCTTCTATCAAAATGTTCATTTCAATTTCGCGAAAAATCTATACTATATGATGACGTTTCACTTTGTTTGATACTTATTGATATGGAAACTATGAACTAACTAAATTTGATTTTGTCTAAAATTAACATAGTTACGTACATTTTAAATGCAAATGCGTGCGGAAAAGTGCAACTTTGCGCACGCAAATGGGAGCGGATAAGTGTTACTTTGCGCACGCTAGTAGAAAAAATCCTTAAATCTAGTGTTTTTTGTTTGACCTAGACAGGTTAGCCATACTTTTTACAACTTTCGTATATTGCCAAAAGTCGAATGCAATACTTGTATTTTAAGTAAAGTTTAATCAACATTCAAGTGTTGGCAAAACTATGTATAATATTTAACTTTTCTCTATAAAAGCTTTACTTTTTTCATATAGCACAATTGCATGTTATTAAATAGTAAAACGGCGTTCCATAGCTTTTCAATAAAGTCGTGCAACAAGAAATGTTCTAATTTTCATGCATCCGTTTTTTAATGACGTTGGACGGATTGATTTGGCAACAAATAGGAATTAAGGACCGGTATATTCACTTCACTAAATTTACTTAATGCTTAATTGTCATAGTTACAATTATGTCAACAATTGTAACAGTTATGTCTAATAAATTTAAAGGTAGGTGAATATACCATATACAAATAATATACTAGACTTAATATACATTAAAATATATAGTTTAAAAATAGTATATTAAAGTACAAGTTGCAGAAGGCCACATATTCTCGCACGAATTCGAAATTTGGCCTCGAGCGACGAAGGAGCGAGTGGACGAACGAATGAGTGCGAGAATAGCCTTCTGCAACGTGTGATTTATACTATTTTCTCGATTTTAACTTTTATTTAGGTTTTTTTAATTGTTTTGTGGTCGTTGTTAGTTAGGGGATTTTTCTCGCAAAATGTCAGTTGGCAACACAAAATGACAATATTTGTTATCCTGCACAAGTACAACCTGAACTGCACTTTTACACATTAAACTTAAAATTTTGCATTAAAATGCATTGTTGGAGCAAACTTTATATTACAAAACAATAATAAAGGCTTCATTTTCAATAAAAGTAATGAATTTGAGGTTATTAATCAGTTTGACATTTTGGGGGGTACCAATACTTAAAAACTAAATGTTACCAAAAATCGTTTAAGAATGAGCTTCATTCTTCAACGATTTTGCGTGCGAGAATATGACATTCTTACATAAAAATCGAGAAAATAGGTTCTTTTAGTTCTGGTTTAAATATTTTTTTGTTTGTCTTTTCTTTTTTTCTTTTTCCTTATTAAATAAAGATATAACTACTGAACATTATTCACTTAACGCACGTAATTACTCCGTTTTACAATTATAATAAAAAAAAATATTAAAAGATTATAATTATAAATTAAATGATCTTGAAAAAAACGATAATAAATTGATTTTTTCGGGGATTTACCGAAATAAGGAGGACAAAAACCGGTTTTTTTTTCTGTAAATTTGATTACCTTTGATTATGTGATCCTCTCCGCAGAGACTCTGCGCCACTTCGGGATCTAAGAAGGTGACGAAACTGAACGCCCTGAACGGTTTCGGTATGAAAACATCGGTTACTTCGCCGTATTTACCGAAATAGTCGCGTAAATCGTCGGCGGTCAGATCTTCAGTGCAACGACCGATAAAAACTTTGCAGGGGACCTGCTGAATCAGACCCTCCTGAAAATAATTTAAAAAATATTTATTTTATCCGACGCCCATTTCATTTCTTAACTCGTGGGCGAAATTTCACTTCCCCCACTAAATATCATTTAGCTTTAAGTTAAATAAAAAAAAAGTGGTTGTTGAATATAATATTGTGTGCGACTATTAGTCAAAAGAGGAATCTCCTCTTTCTCCTACTAGTGGCACAATATACTATTGTTATTATTATTTTTTCACGTAACGTACTTTTTTACTGAATGTTTACAGTAAAACAAAAATTCGATTTTTTAAATTTGTATCTTCAAACTCGTTTTCACAATTACAAAAATCATTATCAAATATAAAAAGACCGAAAAATACGGCCAGAGATGAGTTTTTAGGTTGAAAAATTTATAAAATTATGTAGATAAATCTTTATTAGAAGAGATATCAAAAAAATTTAAAATCCAGCTTGCATGGTTTAAAATAGTATTTTATGTATCAAGTTTGTCACGAATTTAATTTAATGAGTGCCTGGAAAAGTTTCTAAACGAGTTGCATACTATACGCTAAAGAAGTATCGGGTTTTCGCAACGCGCGCGCCATCTGGTGGACTTCAAAAGCATTGCGTGAATTTAAGAATTGTCAACAATACATTTAAAGCATACAAACTGTACATCATGTTTAAATAAATAGGTAGTTTTTTCACAAGAGATGAAGGCAGAAGTCTTACTCGACAAATTTTGTTCAATTGCACAGCTAAATCGCGCACGTGGCAAGGAAAAAACTGGTTTACTTCGATTTCGATTGATTATTATTTATAGGTATCATTGATTAAGAAACTCAACGCTTAAATGCTTGTATAGTTACCGACGTTAGGGTGAATTATTGTGTTTTTAATTGTAAATAAAATTCAAGAACTAAATCTTTGCATTTTCATGTTTTGCCAAAGGATCCAATTCGGTAAGTACATTTGTTGGTGCAGAATTAACTAATGATAACTTTACCTAATATAATTTATATTTAAGTTTGGACATTTTTAAGAAATTAGTAAAAAAATATTTTTGCACAAACATAACCTTAAAATCAACCATTTTTATATTTGAGTTCTCTAAAAAACGCCGACAACTGCATTTTAAACATAGATGACCGAAATATACCTACGAATTCATGGCAACATAATAATATATACAGGGTGTTTCATAATATATGCGCAGGACTTCAGGATGTGATAGCTCAACCAAAAAGATGAAAAAAGTCGCTATTAACTTACCCTCTAAAATGCACAATTTTCGAGATACAGGGTGTTGAAATTTTAGAAAAAAAATCGTTTTTTTCGATTATATCTGGAACCGTTTATCGTACAAAAAACAGCTTTTGTAAGCATTTTCTACTCATAATAAGCTAAAATTTTTTTACTCATAATTGGTGAAGATTTTGAAGGGGTAGCGGGTGTTTTTCCCCTCAACTTCTACGCCCCTGAAAAAAGTACGGTTTCGAGAGGCCCATTCGAACCGCCAATGTTTTCTACATAAAAAAGATACTCTTGGTCATAAGCTCTAAAGTTGACCGTTTTCGAGAAAAATCAACTTTTATGTTTAAAAACATGGTCAATTTTTTGAAAAAAAATTTTTATTACTAATTAAACAAAATTTATTTTAACGTTAGAAAAAGTAACAAAACCAAACGATAATTGCAAAATTAAAAAAAAAAATAAAAAATGATTTTTTACACAAATGCTGAAATGTGCGAAATGCGTTACCTTTACGGTTTGGATCATTTAGCAAAGACAACTTTTGAATCATTTTTTATTTTGCAATTATGGTTTGGTTTTGTTACTTTTTCTAACGTTAAAAAAAATTTTGTTTAATTAGTAAAAAAATTTTTTTTTTTAAATTGACCATGTTTTTAAACATAAGTTGATTTTTCTCGAAAACTGTCAACTTTAGAGCTTATGACCAGGAGTACCTTTTTTGTGTAGAAAACATTGGCGGTTCGAATGGGCCTCTCAAAACCGTACTTTTTTCAGGGGCGTAGAGGTTAAGAAGAAAAACACCCGCTACCCCTTCAAAATCTCCACCAATTATGAGGAAAAAAAAATTTTTTCTGGCACAAAACATAGCTTATTTTGAGTAGAAAATGCTTACAAAAGCTGTTTTTTGTACGATAAACGGTTTCGGAGATATTCGAAAAAAACGAATTTTTTTCTAAAATTTCTACACCCTGTATCTCGAAAATTGTGCATTTTAGAGCGTAAGTTAATAGCGACTTTTTTCATATTTTTGGATGAGCTATCACTAGGGTTGCCAACTTTCGGTTATTGAAATAAAGGACAAATTGGGATTTTTTTTGGGCTTTACAGCTTTTCCGATTTTTTTTTTTGGAAGAGGTGGTGTAGAAGGGGCACCGCTTGACGTAGATGTCTGTGACTTTGGGACATCATCACTTGCATCGACGACTTTATCACCATTCATGATGATTTGATTGATGATGTTTAGCAAAAACCTGCAAATAAATAATGATTTTTATTTTATTCCCTGATTTGGCATTTAGGCAACTACTTGTTTAAAATAGAAAATGCTACTTTTTATGAATCTGTTTAATTTAATTTTTCAATTAAAGTTTAAAAATATATTGCGACAAAAAACTGAAATCTAATAATATAATTTTAATATGGTATTTTCCACTTACCGTTTCCTGTTAAAAAGTTTTAAAATAAGGTTTAAAAAACACCTTACACACAGGGAGTAGTCGACTACACACAAGGGCTCAACACAACGAGGAACAAAATAAAAATACAAGGTATGCTGGATAAATTGGAGCTCGGGGATTTACCAAAATATTTCAAATGTTGCCAATTTTACATTTTATGGTATTTGTATGGACCTTTTTTGAAATAATTGTGGATTTATCTGTATTTCCGGATTTTAAAGGACATTTGCCGTCCTTTGACACCTTTCAAAAGGACAAAGGACAGTATTTAGAAATAAAGGACTGTCCTTTGAAATAAAGGACGGTTGGCAACCCTAGCTATCACATCCTGAAGTCCTGCGCATATATTATGAAACACCCTGTATAATACATAAAATAATGGTATTTTACCGTTGAGTGGAGACTTTCTTAATCACCGCTTTTAATAATGCTAAATGCTGTTTAAATTTAGACGACTTATTTGTTTGACGATTTTTACTGAATTGAAATATTTACACTTTTCACGTTAATCACTACTAAAATGTGTATTTATTGTATCTAATAGATACAATGTATATTTACAGAGACTTTATGCAATTTATTTCTTCATTCAGATTAACACTGTTTATTGAAAAACTGGTAAAAACTCAAACCAGGATTTCCTTCTGAAATACACCCAACAACACAACAAATCGTTCCACGGTTTTTTTCCGATATTTTTTAACATTTCCCGGCTTTATTCTCAAAAACACTCGTTAGTAACAAAAGTTGTTTTGTTACAATGATAACAGCCGGTTGGTGGCGCTCCTAGCGATACTTCTTAAGCGTATAAAACTCTAAAAAAAAATAAAAAAGTAAAAACTCACCTTTGAGTTTGGTACTTTGACGTCACACCATCTTCCATCGATCATGTGTCTTTGAGCTAAAACTCGCATTTGTGATTCGTACGAAGCGAAACGAATGAAACCAAAGCCTTTCGATTGGCCAGTTTTTGGATCCTTCTTAACCTAAAACAAATGTATTTTAATATTTTTGATTTTTTTTATGTAGGTAGTTTGGTATTAAAGAGGACACTTTTTTAATAAATTGTGTATTTACCTGCGCCATAAGGACCTCTCCAAAAGTCTCGAAATACTCTCTCAAATTTTGCTCGGTGGTCTTCCACGGCAGTCCTAAAACTATGAGATCTGTGCATCGGAGCTTTGTCTCCATGCGCTTTGTTTTAGCCGTGGAATTTTCCAAATTGTCATCTGATTTGCGCTTATTTTCTGAAAATAAAAAAATATATTTTTATGATGGTCTAAAAAAAATCTTAATCCGAGTCTTAATATAAAATAGGATAAAGTAGACAGTTATCAGACACTTTATAGTTATTGGACAATTAACATTAATACTGTAAAAACAAGAGTTCTATAAATAGTTACCTTAAAGTCAAATCATTAGATGACGCTGTATACAATTATAAATATCTCAGTCGGTAATAATATAGAACTACTTTATTTTGGGTCCAATATGGGACAAAAAAGTTCGCACGTTACTTTGGTGGTAAGATTTTTGTTTTTATGTTAAGAGCAGGGCAGTGTTTAAATTACAATAAAAAATATTTCTAAAAAGTGTACAGATTAGTGTGTGGTATAAATGTGTTCCTCATGGTTTAAACATTGTCACTTTAATGCGTTTTAATTTTAATTCTGAAAACAAACAGTAAAATGACCAGTGTCCAATTACTGGTTGGTAAAAAATGTAAATTTCTATTATTGGACATATGTCCAATATCATACTCTATTTGTATCCCGGACATTTACCAGCCAATTCTTATGTAAAATTGTCCCCTGAATCCGAAAAGACCGTCAAAAACTATAAAAGTTAAGCAGTTTTTGAAATATAGTCAATTCCATATTATATGTAAAATTGATTATATTTCAAAAACTGTTCTACTTTTATAACGTTTGACGACATTTTCGAATTCAGAGAATAATATTTCATAGGAATTGACTGCTAAATGTCCTGGATACAAATTGCTGTTGACGAGAATTATTAGTGGCTGCTTTTTCGCTATGACATTTTTGACTAATTAATTTTTAGATAGTAATAATATAGTGATTTCTTCGTCACAGGACATCTTGCAAAATAACAGTAATGATAGCATGATAGAGAAGATAAAAAACTAATGGCAACAAAATTAATAAATTTGGAAAATACTTTTAACATACTACCTGAAAAAATATTAAATATATATATAAATCATCCTGTTCTGGCCTAAACTACATATTATAAATGCATCACAAACTAGAGATACCACACTTAATGATATTTGCAACAAACTATTTCAGAAGTCAGACCAAGTAATTAGTAGTTACCTTCAGAATCCAGAAAAGGGATGAGGAATCCGAGAAAGAAATATATGATATTTACAAAAACGAAATAAAAAAATTACCTAAAACAGCAATTTTTCTTTAAAAAATATTTAACAATTTATGTTATTTGATGTAAAGTTGTTATGTTTATATAAAAATTGTATGTCCAATAACTATGGTCCATGTGTCCAATTACTATATAAAATGTCCAATTACTAAACTTTTTTGCATGTTTTTATAAAACTAACATTAAAAATTCAAATATTCTTATTTTTAAGTAAACGTACATAAAGTTTATACAAACAAACTCTCCTTTTTATATATTTAAAAAAAAAATCTTTAAAACAACGGCATATATAAATTTTAAATTAATAATATTCCTTAAGTGTCCAATAACTATGTGGTTTATATTATGTATCAAGTTTGAAAAACGCCATTTTAGAAAACTTCAAAATATGATTATGTTAAGAAAATATTTTATCCTTGAATTTTTTTACTATAATTGCAAAATATTATTACATCACATCACAAGTATGTATAGGAAATGTTAAAGGTACAAAAAGTGACATCGGTATTTATTGGAATTCCCGTTAGAATTTCTAACTTGGGAATCTACCGGCGTTAAAATCTCAAATTTTTCTGTGCAAATCAAAATTTATCCCTTGAAAATAGACTAACAACCGATATAGAAGCAGTTTTTCACAGTAAAAGAGAACAGAATGTTTCAAGGCACTGAACGCAAAATTTTTAACGCTTTATTAGTTAAATCTAGTTTTCAAATATTAGCGTCAAGAAACTATAATAAAATAATTTTCAAATTCAGTATTATTTTACAAGAAAGCCACTTTATTTAAGACATTTGACCAAACTGTCAACTAACTTTAGCCCGTGACCAAAAAACCTGTTGCTAACTTCAGCGCCATAAAGCCACAATGTATGATAATGGGCGTTTTAAAGGTGGGAGCAGAAAAAATAATTAATATTTAATTATATAATATAATATAATTAGTTTCACAAGGTTTTGGTAAATTTTAAAATGCGTTTTTCAGGAAACACAAAAGTCTGGTGTAAAGTATCTGATATATTTGGAGCAGAATTGATGAAAAGATGCCAGTATATTTGGAAAAAGAAGTCCTCTAATAATAAGTCAACCTCAAAAATATGTAACCCCTAAGAATTTCAGAAATCTGAAAAAAGATGGATCCTAAATGCTCTTTGATTGTCTAAAGAGGACAAAACTAAGTTTTTTAGAAATAACAGAGACTTAATGCTGTTTTATAGTAAAAAATATTTCAAACAATTAAATTTAAAAAAACGGAGCCCCAATATTTAATGTCCTTTTAATTAAAATTCGATTTGCTTTGCTTACTTCTCCAATTGATTTGGTGAGAATAAGAACAGTACAAGACCAAAACTTTAATCTGGACAAGTTGTCTAAAATTAATTTCAAGTTCAAAATAAGTTTTTGTATGAGTATGAGTATATGAGTATATATACTCATATACTCATACAAAAACTTATTTTGAACTTGAAATTAATTTTAGACAACTTGTCCAGATTAAAGTTTTGGTCTTGTACTGTTCTTATTCTCACCAAATCAATTGGAGAAGTAAGAGACGTATAACCAGCCCCATTTCCTCTTGACTCTCGAACCCCGTACAGGCCTATGTTTACTTATGCCGATTTTTGTTCTTCCCCAGCAACTGCACGGCTTCACCCGTGTTTGCTGGGTGCGAATGTCCATTGCGTTCCGTACTGTCCCCTATTTGGGTCTCGAGAGCGAGAGGCGAATAGTTATAATAGCCATTCCCGGGTTCGCCGAGCCTATGCTATACGCTCAGTGGGGTATGGAGGAGGGACGGGAGGGTGTTGGTTTTTGGGGGACAATTACGCCGACTTAAAACTAAGTACGACGCGGAATCCCCCTAGACCAGTCGATTAGTATTACTCCAAACATTTGGGATTACTATTTGGAGTTGGGGAGTTGTTATTTCGCTGCAGGGGTGTAGTCTCCTAGTCGAGGTCTTTGTCTTGTTCGTTATTGTCATTGTCCGTGTCCTGGTCAGATAGTTCCTGCCCTTGGTAAAGTGTGTCAGTTGTTTTTAATAATTTTTTTCCCAAGCACGTTTTGTGGTAGAGTTCCGTCTTTGTTTATCAAATTCCAAAGCATTGCATTTATTCACTAGTCAAACAAATCACAAGCGCGATTATTCTGTTGTCTAATGTTTACGAATCTCGAGTTTGGCTATTAGGCCCTTTTTTTTAATGTATTAGAATTATGTGATCAATGTTAGTTTACTCTGTCAGTCCAGTGTTTATTTTCGGTCTCGATTGGGACCGCCTTACGCATTTGCTGTTGACAGACTTATTGCCCCACGCCGCGTGCCCTTCATAGGTTTTAAAGATATCCCAATAAACACTTTAACGATACCTATCACCATTAACATTGCCCGTGTAAGAATTTTTAACACTTCTTAATACAATTTTGCAATGATAGTAATTAAAAACAAAACAATTGTTTAAAGAGTAAAAAATGTTCTTAACATAATCATATTTTAAAGTTATTTTAACATTTCAAGTAAAATAAATGTTATGTTTAATAAAATGAATACGGGCAATGTTAATGGTGACAAATACTTTTTTTCAATTTAATTTAAAACTAGCTTAATACAAAATAAATAGCCGGCCCTGTGGTGCGTCGCATTAAAATCTGAAACGGCCCCGGTATCAGGCGTGTAACGTATGCTTCAATAGATGGTTTATTTACGTTATGTTATTGCGTGGGCGCTTTGTTTATTTACCTTCCTTCAAGCTTTGCCTTGTGGCTGAGTTGCAAGTCGCGTATATTATACAATATATATAATACAATAATATAATATTGCGACGTTCCTGCTTGATTCCTTTTCGCACACGTACGCTGTTTTCGGCAATGGTTAATTGTTGCCAGTTTTTTTTTTACAGATTTGCGTATTAGGTCTTGCAATAATACTTATCAGAGTCGGCTGGGGATGGTGATGGTGATGATCCCTTTCGCTCTTTGTTAGACTTGTTTTTTTCTTTAAATAGGTGATTCCTTGACCTGTCCGCTGTCACTTTATTACTTCGTGTCCGCACGAACCTCACTCCTATGTTCACCGTTGAGAGATTGCCTTTTGAGGAATTTTTAATGTTTCTATTAACCCCTCGGAGAACAGGTACCCTGATTTCACCTGTACCGTTTTGTATACATACTATAGTAACCCAAATAGTAGCACTGTTTCGCACCGTACTTTACTCGACTACACTGTATATAATAGTTATGTTTCTTTAAGAATTTTATTGTGGATCGGCACCGAGCGCTCGAACTACACATCCGCTCGCTTCGCCGGTATCGACAGTACTGAATAAGTTTTTGTGAGTAGATATAAATCATTTTACAGAATATAAATATTATATTTTATGAAGTAGTTAAAATATTCTTACAAAAATGCATTTAAAACTATAAAACTGATTTTTTAAAATATTTTGTCAAAATTTTATTTTTTGATTTGTACTGTTCTTAATCTTACCAATTCAATTTCAGAATAAAGCTTCCAGTTATAATACAGCAAGAATATGTTCTTTAAGGCAATGATTATTTTAGTGAATTGGTAAAAGGAATTATTATACTATATACTATTATACTATTATAGTATAATACTATAATAGTTTTATAAACTAAGAAGCATAGATGACCGAAGTTTATAAAACAAATTGCATTTGACATTTTATCTGACATCTGACAACTTAGGCAGTGATAACCTTACTTTTTACCAATCTGTGTTTTAAAAATATGGTAACATTTCATAAATCGCTTTCCTAAAAATTTGTTAAAACTAGTTGAATGTACAGCAAAATGATCCAGTTGAAAAAAATACAATTTCTGGTGTTATAAATGAAAAGAAATTATTTATCTTGTTATTCCAACATTGGCTTTTAAAAATTAATAAACATTGACCAGTATTCGAGATTCTCAATAATATTATGCGTCTCATATAATGAATCTCATGTAACAGTTGTGTCGACAACAGAACCAGCTATAATTAACATCAATATAAACAATAGAATGTAGATTAATTGATTTTTAATTTATGTAATCACATTGTAAACAATTTAGACAATCAATAATATAGGTATACTCAATGAAAACAAACTACCAACCTTTGGGGAACACGCAGTAAAAAATCTGTGTGCCCCATGCCCCCTCGGGGGGCGGATGCAGCCTCCCTTCGCTAAGTCTAACCCCTCTCACGATTTTGTTCTCAGGATTTCTGTATTTTAACCCGGACGACCCTGGAAATTGAGCTGCCAAAGTGCTCAGCAAAAGAGTACCGTCTTCTTCGGTTGGTAGCTCGATGGGTTCTTCGCCCTCATCCTCGGCCACTTGCAAATATTCGATCGACATTCTTTTTCAACTTTCACACAAAACACACCGCAAAAACTGATTGATTCCGAAGTAAAATGGCTGTTTTAAAAATGGCGTGGCTAACTGACTCAGTGTTGCCACTACTACGTTAACTTTCGTCAAATCAAATATAATAAAATATGGCATACTGTTAATATATTCGTTTAAAATTCACTCAAAGTTGTTTATTTTAATAAAACTATGTACTTATAATGCCTTAAAACATTCTTAGTTTGCAATAAATACTCAAAATCTGTCAACACTGCTGTATCAAATCAAAACTGCCAACACAAATTTTGTTTCAAAAGAAGAAGAAGATAAAGATATAACCTAACATTCAGATATAACAATTTAAATCTACGCAAAATGTTTATTCTTTTATCGTGAAATCGGTGTATATCGGTGTGTTTTAACGTTTTAAATGCGAAGGACTAGATTTACTAATAGTGCGGTGTGTGGTGTTTGTTTTTTATCAGTTTCTGTAATTTTACTGTTTTTGTGTTGTTTATTGTTATGTGATGGATTGGTTCGGTTTATTATGGTTGAGGACATAGTTTCTCTATGGTTGAGGATGTTTTGGAGTATGAAAATGCACCTGCAAACAACTATGACCACTTCCAACTTTGCTCATCCTAGCAACATAATTTGTTTTTAAATAATTAGAAATTGATTTTAAATAATCTTGTTTCTAATCCCATTTAACTTAAAAATTGTAAAAATTCAGTATGAGGTACTACCTATGCTTCACATCAAAAAGTATCACTTTGACATTTGTTTAAGGAATTCATTAAAATAATTGAGGTTATCTATCTGTCAGTTTAACGCAAATTTCGTCTTATTTTCTAAAAATAATACATGTAGAGCGTAATTTGGTTAAACTATTTTAAACATTATTTTTTTAAGTGAAATAGGCTAGATTTGTAGTTAAATTCGAATGCTTTGTCTGTTTATATTTTTTCTATAAAAAGCTAGTTGGGTGGTTTTCCAAGAAATTTGGATGTGAAGGGTAAGTTTTTTTAATTTTTATTTATTAAAATGGTCATTTAACTTTTGGTACTACTCTGGTTTACTTTTTTTTTTAAATATTTTAAAAATCCTTTAAACTTAAAAGTACTTGGGTACTATTTGTTGTGTCTCTTTAGATAGATACTACATGATAATATCATACCTATGCCAAAAAAAATCTCTAATTATACCTAATTTAAGATATATTTTTATAGCTAAAAAATTATCAAAGTACTATAGTTAAATGATCATTATAAACTGTGGGAGATTAAAAAAAATTAATACAAATAGGTATGTTCTTTATAATATAATATTTTAGGTTTGGATTATAAGGTAGGTGCTTATATTTTTTACATTTTAATTAAAAAAATCCCCACAGATAATATTTACCTATTTATTATTTATTTTTTCAATTTTTAAATTTCTTATAAGAAATATAAATAGGTATACCTTATAAGAAATATAAATAGGTAGGTATACCTATATAGGTAGGTAGGTATATTAGTAAATCGCCATTTATAAATGTTTTTATAGCATTTTTTGCTCAATTTTATGCAAGCATTGGCATTAAACTTTTTAAATTCTTAATTTTACCTAGGTAATGCTTTTAAATGAAAAAACGGTTAATCAGCATTTTTAATTGCTTTTGAATATCATTTTAATTAAGTAGGTAATTCTAAATTTTATGCAATTTTTTTTTAATTAATTTTTTTTCTAATTACGTATAATAGGAAGAGTAACGAATAGTAAATAAGCATTTAATGTGCCTTTGAAAATTATTTTAATGTTTAATTTAATGCCATGTTTAAAAGCTTAATTAGTAAGTAGTGTTTAATCAGTGCAACTTCATTTAGTTACAACAGAGTATACTGATTTATAAATGCTTAATTTTACAACATTTAAATGCTTAATTTTTAAGTTCTTTAATTTTTTGTATTAAACAGAATACGTTTATTTAGGTGTTACTAGTTTGAATCAACATTTTTAATGACGTTGATTTAAAAAGTATAAAACAAATCAGCATTTTAAATTCGCCATTTTTAATTTTCTATAGTCCTATTTAAGATATGTTTTTTTATAGTGCAAGTTCATTTAAGTATTGCCATAGTGAATCAGTTTGTATTAAAGAGAGTGCAAAATTAATTAATTAATTTTAAATCAGCATTTTAATAAGTGTTTGGAAAGTCATCATTTAAACGCTTAATTTTACGCCATTTTTAAGAGGTGTTTTTAAAAGTGCAAGTTTATTTAATTTTTTTCAATGAACGTCAGTATTTTTAAATACCTCAAAACAACATTGAAATGCTTAATTGTGCTACATTATTAAATACTTTAATTGTTTTTGTTAAACAGTGCAGGTTTATTTAGGTGTAACTAGTTTAAATCAGCATTTTTAATACGTAATTTTACGTCATTTTTAGTCGCATGTGTCCTATGTAAGAGGTGTATTTAATAGTGAAAGTTTTTTATTGCCGTGGTGAATCAGTAATAAAAAAGTGCAAAATTAATTAGGTGTTTAGGAAATCAGCATTTTAAATGCTTAATTTTCCGCCATTTTTAATTGCCTATTGTCTATTTAAGAGACCTTTTTTTGAAATTGCAAGTTTATTTAAGCGTGACTCAAGTAAATCAGCATTTTTAAATGCTTTAAAACAACATTTAAAGCTTATTGCGCGTCATTTTAAGTCTTTAAATGTTTGTATTAACAAGTGCAGGTTTATTTAGGTTTAACCATATTGAATAAGAATTTTTTAAATACTTCCAAATAGCATTTGAATGCTTAATTTTGGGACATTGTAATTGCCTTGATATAATTAAAGTGTTTTTAATAGGTAGTTGACGTTTGTGATGCCAAACTAAATAAGCATTTTTAAATGCTTTAAAATAGCATTTTAATGCTTAATTGTATATTGTAATTGCTTTTATCTAATCAAAAGTGTTTTTAAAAGTTAACGTTTAAGTGTTACCCAACTAAATAAAAAATTTACTTTTCTGAATAATTTTTAACCATACGAATTTATAATAATAAAATTCAGTAGTCCAATTTTATTTAAGTGAATAAGCATTTTTAGATGCTTTTATAAATAATCATAATGTAATTTTAATGCCTAATTACGACATGTTTTTATTCCTTTTCCCACTTTAATAAGCATTTTAAAATGCATTGTAATGCTTAATATTTTAAAATTTCATAATAATAGTTAGAGTTGGGGATGGTCAATTGACCAGTCAATTGACAGCTACCTATTTGACCGTCAATTGACCGGTCAAAATATATTTAATTTTTGCAGCATTTTATTTAGGTATCAACAATTACCCACGGGTGAATCTCAAAATTTTTGCGATCGTGCAATATCGACATCATTTACAATTTGGTGGTTCCCCGAGTTGCTAGGCCGGACTCGGCGCTTTGCCCTTAAAGCGGGACCGGTCAATTGACTGGTCAATTGACCAAAAACAATTTGACCGTCAATTCCACAACCCTAATAATAGTGTTTCTAATAGTGCATAGTGAAAGTTTATTTAGGTTTAACCTCATTGAATCAGAATTTTAAAATGCTTTCAAATAGCATTTTAATGCTTAATTTTGGGACATTTTAATTGCCTCGATCTAATAAAAAGTGTTTTTAATAGCTAACTTATATTTAAGTGTTGCCAAACTAAATCGGCATTTAAAATCCTTTTCTAAAAAGTTTGTATGCACTTTTTAAATGTATTTTGATAGGTACATGTTTTATTGCATTTTTATAATTATAGTAATAGTGTTTTCAATAGTGTAAGTGCAACTTTATTTAGGTTTTACCATATTGAATCAGCATTTTTAAATGCTTTAAAATGGCATTTTAATGCTTTATTTTACATAATAATTTAAAATAATTGCTTTTATAAATAATTTTAATGCATTTTTAATGCTTAATTACGCCATGTTTTATGCTTTTTATTCCTTTTTTGACGTAAATAAGCATTTTTTAATGCATTTTAATGCTTAATATTACGAAATTTTGCATTCATAATAATAGTGTTTTTAATAGTGCATAGTGCAAGTTTCTTTAGGTTTAACCATATTGAATCAGAATTTTAAAATACCTCAAAATACCATTTTAATGCTCAATTTTGGGACATTTAATTGCCTTGATCCAATAAAATGCGTTGTTAATAGTTTACGTTTATTTAAGTGTTGCCAAACCAAATCGGCATTTAAAATGCTTTTCTAAAAAGTTTTTATGAACTTTTTAAATGTATTTGGATGCATATTTTACGAATTTGTATTCATAATAATAGTGTTATCATTAGTGTAAGTGCAAGTTTATTTAGGTTTTACCATATTGAATCAGCATTTTTAAATGCTTTAAAATTGCATTTTTATGCTTCATTTTATATTTTAATTACATTATAATAGTAAAAGTTTAAGTTTTACCCAACTAAATCAATTTTTTTAAATGCTTGTTTTAATGAATGCTTACATTTAAGTCATTTACATTTATTAATAATTTTTAACCGTACGACTTTTAGAATACCTAAGTGTTTCCAATAGTCCAAGTTTATTTAAGTGTTGCAGTGAATAAGCATTTTTAAATGCTTTTATAAATAATCTTAATGTTTTATGATTTTCATTCCTTTTCCTACGTTAATAAGCATTTTAAAATGCATCGTAATGCTTAATCGTGCTTAATATTACGAAATTTTGTATACATAATAATAGTGTTTCTAATAGTGCATAGTGCAAATTGTTATATAAGTTTAACCATATTGAATCAGCATTTTTAAATGCCTTAAAATAACATTTTAATTGCTTTTATTTAATAAAAAGTGTTTTTAATAGTACCTAAACGTTTAAGTGTTAACAAACTAAATCAAAATTTTTAAATGCTTGTCTAGAGAGTTTTAATGAATGCTTAATTTAACGTAAGTTACTTTTCTGAATAATTTTTAACCGTACGACTTTAAAAAGAAGAATTGTTTTCAATAGTGCCAGTTTAATTTTTTATACCTTTTTCCTCGTAAATAAGCATTTTTGAATGCATTTTAATGTTTAATATTGCGAAATTTTGTATTCATAATAATAGTGTTTCCAATAGTCCATAGTGCAAGTTTTTTTGGGTTTAACCATATTGAATCAATATTTTAAAATGCTTCCAAATAGCATTTTAATGCTTAATTTTAGGAAATTTTAATTGCCTTTACCCAATCAAAAGTATTTTTGATATTTTACGTATATTTAAGTGTTGTCAAACTAAATCAGCATTTAAAAAGCTTTTCTAAAAAGTATGCACTTTTTAAATGTATTTGGATGCATATTTTACGCATTTTTGTATTTATAATAATAGTGTTTTCAATAGTGTGGGTGCAAGTTTATTTAGATTTTAGCATATTGAATCAGCATATTAGATAAAGTTTTTAATAGTAAACGTTTGAGTGTTATCAAACTAAATCAAAATTTTTAAATGCTTGTTTAAAGAGTTTTAATGAATGCTTAAATTTACCTAATTTACTTTTCTGGATAATTTTCAACTGTTACTAACCATTTTAAAATGCATTGTAATACTTATTACGAAATTTTGTATTCATAATAATAGTGTTTCTAATAGTGCATAGTGAAAGTTTATTTAGGTTTAACCATTTTGAATCAGAATTTTTAAATGCTTTCAAATAGCATTTTAATGCTTAATTTTGGGACATTTTAATTGCCTTGATATAAAGTGTTTTTAATAGTTAACGTTTATTTAAGTGTTGCCAATCTAAATCAGCATTTAAAATGCCTTTCTAAAAATGCCTTTTAAATGCATTTTGATGTACATTTTGATGCATTTTTGTATTAAAAAAATAGTGTTTTCAATAGTGTAAGTGCATGTGTATTTAGTTTTTAACTTATTGAATCCGCGTTTTTAAATGCTTTTAAATAGGATATTAATACTTAAGTTTACATTTTAATTGCTTTTATCTAATAAAAAGTGTTTTTAATAGTAAACGTTTAGTCTAGAGAGTTTTAATGAATGCTCAATTTTACGTTATTTACTTTTCTGAATAATTTTTAACCGTACGGCTTTTAGAATAAAAAGTGTTTTCAATAGTGGGTTTGATCATATTGAATCAGAATTTTTAAGTGCTTATTAATGGCATTTTAAAGCTTCATTTTAGGACATTTTGATTGCCTTGATCTAATAAAAAGTGTTTCTAATAGTGAACGTTTATTTTTTATTGTTGCCAAACTAAATCAGCATTTTAAATGCATTTAAAAAAAGTTGTAATGGACTTTTGTAAAGCTTAATTTTACTTTTTTAAAGTGTACGATTTTTTCGAATAAAATGTGTTTCTAATAGTGCAAGTTTATTTAAGTGTTACAGTTAATAAGCATTTTTAAATGCTTTTTTGAATAATTTTAATGTATTTTTAATACATAATTCAACGCCATGTTTAATGGTGTTTATTGCTTTTACAAAGTAAATATTAAATGAATTTTAATGCTTAATATTACAAAATTTGTATATTTGTATAGTGTTTCTAATAGTGCATAGTGCAAGTTTATTTAGGTTTAGTCCTTTTGAATCATAATGTTTAAATGCTTTCGAATAGCGTTTTATTGTCTAATTTTAAATTGCTCTGATTTAAAAAAAGTGTTTTTAAGCATTACCAAACTGAATGCTTTTCTAAAAAGTTTTAACGTACTTTTTATGCTTAATTCTACGTCATACTTTTCTAAAGAATTTTTGAGGAAACGATTGTAATAGGTAGTGTTTTCAAAAGTGCAAGCATTTTATGCGCTAGTGTGAATAAATTTCCCACCAATGTCCGATTTTTGCCTTTTTGTTGCTGTAATTCAGGGAATACAGTGAATCAGCATTATAAAATGCTTTTAAAAATTGAATGCATTTTCTAACGAAGTAAATAAGCATTTATAAATGCTCATTTTTATGCAGCATGCCATTTTAAATGGCTTTTTTGGTAGTGTTTAAATTAAGTGCAAGTTGATTTAACAGTGTAAACAAGCATTTTTAATGCTTAATTTTTATTTAGGGGTGCAAATCGACATTTTTTTAATGCATTTCTATAGAATGTGTTATGTATGCCTATTTTTACACCATTTTTTTTTATTATTTAATAAGAGGTTACCATCGCGAATCAGCATTGTTTTAATGCTTCTTAATAGCATTTTAATGCCCAATTTTATTTTATTTTAATTACTTTATTGCTAAAAAATTGTTTTAAAAGTTTATTAAGTGTTACCAAAGTGAATCAGCATTTTTAATGCTTTTCGAAAGCATTTTTAATTCGAAATTGCCTAATATTTTGAATATTTAAATGTTTTAGCATTTTTTAAATGCCCGTATGAAAAAGGCTTTAAAAGTTTTAACAGTGTAAACAAGAATTTTTTAATGCTTAATTTTTATTTAGGGGTGCAAATCGACATTTTTTTAATGCATTTCTATAGAATGTATTATGTATGCCTATTTTACACCATTTTTTTATTATTTAATAAGAAGTTACCATCGCGAATCAGCATTGTTTTAATGCTTCTTAATAGCATTTTAATGCCCAATTTTATTTTTTTTTATTACTTTATTGCTAAAAAATTCTTTTAAAGGTTTATTTAGTGTTACCAAAGTGAATCAGCATTTTTAATGCCTATCGAAAGCATTTTTAATTCGAAATTGACTAATATTTTGAATATTTAAATGTTTTAGCATTTTTTAAATGCCCGTATGAAGAAGGCTTTAAACGTTTTTACCGAAGTAAATAAGCATTAAATCAAAATTTAATGCTTTATTATTAGTATTTAAATAAGTGTGTGTTAATTGTGTTAAGTGTGTGAAACGGATATCGATAAATTAAAACGTAAGGGTTTAAGTAATATTACTAAATATAGTAATATTGAGCCACTTTGCGGAAATTTTTCGTTCTAAAGTTTGAGAGGCTTGAAGTTTTAACAGATCGACAGTTGGAAATCAGTGACAGTTAAAAATTTCAATGAAGTTCCGTAAAAGGACTTCATTTTAAAAACGCTTTAATAAAACTGTCAAAACTTTAAGCCTCTGATAACTTTTGAACGAAACATTTCTTCAAAGTGGGTAAAGTAGACTTTTAAATCTATCGATAGCCGTTTAACTGTGACAGGTTTCCAATGGTCAAAATGTTACAAGTTTTGTCGTAATGGGTTTTTTTAATCGATTGTCTACCATTTTTCGTTGGTTTTGAAACGCTATCCAACTGTCGATCCCTCAAAATTTTAAACCCTTATACAATGGAAGATGGCAGAACGGACAAACGGTTAAAAAAGCTCATTTTTATATACAGGGTGTCACTAAATAAGTTGTTATCCTTTAAGGGAATGTTGGTACACCCCAAAATAGGAAAGTTTTTCCTCTATTATTTTTTCATTAGTGCAATTTTTTTTTGTAAAAAAAATTTGGGACATCACTGGTTTTTCCTGGTCTATAACAACTGACGCAATGAAAATGAAGATCAATTTTTTTTTTTGCTTAAATTGACTTTTGGTTGGATTTTTATAAATGTTTAGAGTTTTGTTTACTTACATTTAAGACAGGCAGTGCACTTTTTAATTTTTTTTACGGTTTTTTCAGAAAAATGTGTTTAGCTACTACCTACCTTTATCTCCAATGTGTTACCAATTTGAAATTCAAAATTTAATTCAATAAAAAAAGTTGTTATAAAAATAATTTGAAATAAAATGTAGGTACTTAGTTCACAAACTTTCGACTCCAATTTTATTTTTTATTAAAAATTGTATGCCTTTTTTAAATATTTATGTTAACTTTAACTTTTTAAAAGACACCATTCCGATTCTTTGTTAAAAAAAACAATACCATTAATATTTTCTTTTAGTCACTGTATTAGTGAGTTAAACTCCAATTTATAAACAGGTACCTATTACCAAGTGATAGTAAAATCATTTTAAGGATTTTTTTTTAATAAAAACTAAAAAAAGTAACGAAATAGACATTGGTATCACAACGGACTGGGGTACACAAAGGACTTAATCAGATAACGTAAAAAAGAAACTATGTAGGGTGGTACGATTTTAGAGTAATGCATAAACAAAATCCCTTGTAGTGGTGCTCACTTGCAGAATAACAACTTAGATTTCTAAATTATAGACACCCTTTTTCTTTGACTATAAGCTGGTGTCTTTTAGTACTTTTATATTGCGTGGAATTTTCCCTTGGATGTAATCTATATCATGAGTTGTAATCACAAATAATTTTAAATTGGTTTATCATAAACTACTTTTAATAAAAGCGATGGTAAATATCCACTTTGTTGTTGAAAAATTCTATTGCGTTACCCTAAATTCCATTGCGTTACCATAAGGTAACGTAATGGACTCGGTAACGCATTGGACAAAGTTTTGTGAAACCATATTTAAAAAATAATAAGAAAACATTACAGTCATTAATTACTCTCAATGAGCTTTAGTGCCCTAAAATAAACATAAACATGAAAAATAGTATTTTTTCTTACCTTATTTTTATTATTTTTTTTTGAGTAATTTAGCGGACAAACAATTATTACATTCGCGTTACCCGCACCTGTTTCAACCGATATCTTCTTCCTGATTGAAGCTGGGTAATGTGTACGTCCAAACCTCATTTGTTAATCACGTGAGTGCCAAAAAAGTTGCCATATATATGTTTTTTAAATATTCTATCGGTAACGCGACGGACGTAACGCAACGGAAAAAATGTCTGGGACATGAGTCAAATTTAAAAAAAGTAGATTAAAATTAATTAATTTATATATAAATTGTTTACTTTATTATCTAAGGATGTTTAATTTTAATTTAATTGTATTTTTATTTAAAGAATGTAACAGCTTTTACTAATACCACATATGCACACACCTATGTATTTTAAAACTACAATAAAAAATTAACAAAGCAATTTTGTTTTAGTAAAACATCAACTTTGTGCACATACGACGAATGTACCTTCTCAGGACTGGAAGACGATGTTACAAAACACATGTTGAAGAAGCATAATTATGACAAACTAATGTGGGGCAGTGTTAAAGTTACCAAAAGTAAAATCAAAGAACTAGCTTGTAAGGACTGCGACTTTAAAACAGTGTCACCCAAAAATTTGAGCATCAAAGTTACCAAAAGTAAAATCAAAGAACTTGCTTGTAAAGACTGCGACTTTAAAACAATGTCACCCAAAAATTTTAGCAAACATATAAGAAAACATTCAAAAGATACAGTTTGTCCTTATTGCAACTTTCGGACACGAGAATACTACACCCTGCAAAAACATGTGTATAGATCACACAAGAGTCGGAACGAAATAGAGAAGAATATCGAAATTACCATCAAAATATATTGTTGCAATGACTGTGGCTTCAGCGACCCAGAAAAAAGAAAATTTCTTCGGCATCTGAAATCTTGCGGTAAAACAAAACCCCCGACAATTCATACAAAACCAGTTTTAACATGTCCACATTGCGAATACACGACGGAAAATCGCGGTACACTCTACAACCACGAGAGGAAGCACACGAAAATTCGCAAATGTCCTTATTGTTACTTTTCGGCCACCAGAAATTGCAAACTGCAACTTCACGTGCATGCTAAACATAGGGAGTTGAATGATGTCGAGGGTAAAGTTGAGATCACTTTTAAGGTTAATAAGTGTTCATTTTGTGCCTATAGTACTTTGGATAAATATTCATACAAGAAGCACTTGGAGGCTTGTAAGAAGAAACATCAGTCGATGGATTAATTTTTAACTTCAAACCTTTTTTGAAACCTTGAATCAACTTAAAAGTTAAACAAATTTTGTTCATATTTTTAATAAACATAACATAACTAAATATACTGCATTTTTTTAATTGACCTGTTGCTATTTTTGGGTGATTCCATTGGTTGAAAGTTGAACGGTTCTAGAACGTTCTTGAACTGACTTTGGTTTCATTATTGTTAGCAGTTTTTTTTTTGTTAATTTTTACACCTATCCTCTCTGTACATTTTTTAGCCTTGTTTTTGTTTCTTCTGACATAAGTTTCTGGTTCTCTGATCTTCTGTTTCTTCCATAACTTAACTCATAAATATTATGAAGATTTCCTTTGTGTTCTATACCTACTTCCTTAAAGCATCTTCAATACATTCGCATGCGCGAGTCATGTGACTCGAGGCCCCGCCCACAAAATAAGTGGGGGATGGTCTCAAGATAGATAGATAGATAGATAGATAGATAGTTTATTGATCCAAAGGGCATATTTACATATGTATAGGACAAGTCAAAACATTTTAATATAATATACAACAAATAAATGTAGATAACAACATATAAACATTATTAATTCAAAAGATAAATACGTTACAGTTACAACATGTTATATTTGAACATCTTTTAATTTAATTTTAAAAGCATTTACACTTTAAAAAGCATGACTTATCAGGTAATCTCGCAGTCTTTTCGTAAATGCCTTTGTTGGAAGGCATGTCATATTAGCAGGCAACAAATTAAATAGAGTTGGGCCGTAATAACTAAAAAGTTTCGACTGGACTCCAATCGTAAAAATGGTAACCTTATCCTGTCTTTGTTACGAGTATTTGGACCAGAGGTACATGCGTATCATAATTTGACAATCTATCCCTGGTAGCACAAATCGAATCAAAAATTAGGAGACTGGGAAAAGTTAATAATCCCATTTGGGTAAACTTATGCTAGATGTCGTCTCGATATCTGCTACCAGACATCGTTCTTACAGCACGCCTCTGAAGTCCAAACTATCGGTCTGCGTGTGCACTGAAACCCCAGATTGTTAAGCCATATCTCATGTGTGACATAAATAATGAGTGATATGCATTTATTAAAACTTCGCGACGACATACCTATAGTATACTACACTGTTCAAAATTAACACCATACATGGTCTATATCGATACAAACCAATATGGTTCGTTGGTCCGGTGTAAATTTAAATACTAAAATAGTGTAAATTTAACTTTCACATTGTATTAAAATTAATTTTACCTGGTGTAAATTGAACTCCTTTATAGTGTTAAATATTACGTGTTTTTGGTCAAATTAAATCATACTACACAGAAAAAAAAGGAAACAGGAAGTTCCTTGACGCATTACTAGTATATTACCAGTGGTATTATTCCAGAAAATTGAACCTTCAACTCGCTAGAGATAATGTTTTTAGTGCGTTCCACCAACTTCAAATACTTCAAGTATTGACAGCTGTTTCCACCTATTTAAGATCTCTTTAGTATCGAACAACTTGTAGTGCCACACCAAAGCAAAGAACTACCTGAGCTTATATACTCTTAATGTCAGGAATGCACCGAAATTTTTTTTAATCGTTTTAACAGATTGCTTTAGGTTGAAATAACTCTTATTTTACAAACAACATATTTAGTAAACTGAACCATACAGCGGGTTGGTTTCACTAAAGTTTTCTGGGGTAATTTAACCAATAAAAAAAATAACTATCTGGTTTAGTTCCGTCAAACTAATCTTTGTTTATATTAACCTTCCCACATTTGATTTAAATAAATACTTATGGGTCAACTAAATTAATATAGTTAAATGAACTATTCCTTTTTTCTGTGTAGGTGCACTTCTTAAATATTTTTATATTAACAGCGTTTTGGTGTTTGCTTTATATAACATTTTCAACCATAATTCATGGTGTTTATATTAACACCACTTGGTGTTGGATTTTGACACCATTTTAGGATTACTTTTTACACCACAGATATTTTAAACAGTGTACTGTTTTCAATTAAACATTAAGCTTATTCTAGTATACACTCTCTAAAAATTAATTAGTCAGAAATGACTAGTTGCTACAGTTATTAGTGTAAAATTGTCCACCAATCCGAAAATCCAAATTTTGAAAGTATACTATACGCTAAAGAAGTATCGCTAGTAGCGCCACCACTCGGCTGTTATCGTAACAAAAGTACAACTTTTGATAATCAGCTGTCAAACGCGTGTGTTACAAACGAGTGTTTTTAAGAATGAAGCCAGAAAATGTTAAAAAATATCGAAAAAAAACCGTGGCACGATTTGTTGTGTTGTTGGGTGTATTTCGAGAGGAAATCCTGAGTTGAGTTTTTATGGGTTTTCCAATAAACAGTGTTAATCCGAATGAAGAAATAAATTTCATACAGTCCCTCTAAATATAAATTGTATCTATTAGATACAATATATACACATTTTAGTAATGATTAACGTGAAAAGTGTAAACAGCATTTAGCATTATTAAAAGCTTTGATTAAGAAAGTCTCCACTCAACGGTAAAATACCATGTTATAATGTATTGCTGTGGCCGGCGTTTTTTAGAGAAATCAAATATAAAAATGGTTGATTTTAAGGTTATGTTTTTGCAAAAATTATTTTTTACCAATTTCTTAAAAATGTCCAAACTTAAATATAAATTATATTAGGTAAAGTTATCATTAGTTAATTCTGCACCAACAAATGTACTTACCGAATTGGATCCTTTGGCAAAACATGAAAATGCAACGATTTAGTTCTTGAACTTTATTTACAATTAAAAACACAATAATTCACCATGATCCCTTAGATAAAATACACACACTAACGTAGATTTATAAGCATTTAAGCGTTGAGTTTCTTAATCAATGATATAAAGAAATCGAGTACTAAACCAGTTTTTTAGTTTTTTCAACATGCTCTGCATCTATAGATGACACAACAAGTAGATAGTCCTATAACCTTTCTTTCATAAAAACCACATAAACCTATTTATTCAATGTATGTTATTTGTTGTAGTAAACCACTGGCATTGGTGGATGGGTGTAATTCAGGACCAGGTCAAAATTCCACAGAAGATGACATTAAGACTATAGAAGGAAAATATAAATGTGAATTCTGCAAATTTGTAACAGTGGATATGGATAGGTATAAGGAACATTTAAAAATGTTACACTGCCCGTACTGTGACGTTGTTAAGGAAGGCAAACATTTCGAAACCCACGTTATTTCCAAACATAGGGTACAAAACAATATCGAAAAGAAGGTTCAGATTTCAGACGAGACGATTAAACGTTATTTGAAGTTAAAGGATGATAAGTATGTTTGTATGCAATGTAGTTACAGTACAACATGTCACAAAGAGTTGGTTAAACATGAGAAAGAACATCGGAAGGATTTACCTTGTCCTTACTGTGAATACACTACAAAGGTGAAGTTGGCCTTTCAAAAACACGTGTGTAGAATGCACAAGGATCAAAATGAAATTGAAAAGAAAGTTAAAATCACCGTTAAAATGTATACGTGCCATAATTGTGGTTTCGTTGCTCCACAATTGTTGCATTACGAATCACATATTAAAACATGCAAAAAGTCAAAATTGAAATGCCCCGAGTGCTCTTATTCCACAAGTAATATATCAGAACTTCACACTCATATAAAAGATCACAATAAACCAAATTTGATATGCACCTATTGCCCCTCTAAAGCAAAATGTCGCAGTTTGATTAACGGCAAAACAAATTTCTGCCCATATTGCACATACTCTACTAAAAGAAATGCCTATATTCAAATACATGTTTATAACAAGCATAAGCAGCAAAACGAGGTGGAGAAAAAGTTTTTGATTACACATACAAATTTTAAATGTAAATTTTGTTCCTATGACACAATGAGTAAAAGTGGCTGGAAGTACCATGAGAAGATTTGCAAAGAGATTCAACCAGATAACAAACTACTTCAGCAAAATGTTGAGACGTGCATCGAGGGAGAAGCTGCACTTATACCACCGACTATCGACTAGAACTTGTTCGTGCATGTAAAAGCAGCACAAATCTGTTAGTTAAGTCATTTAGTGGCTACATCTTGGGGGGAGTTTTAGTAGCATGTGTTGCAACTACATTTTTTAAATGCCTTAAAACCGTGGTTTTAAATTACAGCACTTTTATTAAACTATTTGACAAAGATTTTGGCCTATGAAAATTTGTCAACCTAAAAGTTTTTCCAACACGCAAGAACTATAGTTAGGCTATAGCCTTTTATTAACCCATCGTTGATATGTGAGCACATCCTGCCTTCGTCAGGAAATAAAATATGACTCTTTCGGTCGAGGTCTCAATTGTTGAGTTGTCCGACAACAAATTTCAGTTACCTTTGATTTGGAGATTCCATTTTGAGATCAGGTCAAAGTTTTGAAAGCAATCCCTCAAGATCTTATCAAAAATCTTAATTTGTTCGTTTAATAATCAGCTTTTTCTCCTGAACTCTTTTTAGTTAGCAAACATTCTTAGGCCCATAATTTTGTCAATACAGGTTCTAACAATCAAATTGGTGTCGCACACATGCTCTTAAAACTTAAGAATTCTGGTTAGTGGATGTTTTGCCCCCAAGTATAGTTTTGATTAAATTTTATAAGTTATGTTCTTATTAGGTTATAATTGTGTAACATGGTTAACAATAAACGCATTTTATTAATTTTGTATTTAGTTGTCACCGTACAAAGAAGCACGAGTACGCTGTGATTTTGTACGTTTTATTTTTATTATTTACCTTGCTTTTTCCATCATTCAATGGATCGGCAGATGTTGACTTAAAACATGCTCTGCATCCACAGATGGCACAAAAAGTAGATAGTCCTACAACCTTTCTTTCATAAAAACCACATAAACCTAGTTTTTCAATGTATGTTATTTGTTGTAGTAAACCACTGGCATTGGTGGATTTTTGTAATTCAGGACCAGGTCAAAATTCCACAGAAGATGACATTAAGACTATAGAAGGAAAATATAAATGTGAATTCTGCAAATTTATAACAGTGGATATGGATAGGTACAAGAAACATTTAAAAATGTTACACTGCCCGTACTGTGACGTTGTTAAGGAAGGCAAAAATTTCGAAACCCACGTTATTTCCAAACATAGGGTACAAAACAATATCGAAAAGAAGGTTCAGTTTTCAGACAAGACGATTAAGCGTTATTTGAAGTTAAAGGATGATAAGTATGTTTGTATGCAATGTAGTTACAGTACAACATGTCTCAAAGATTTGGTTAAACATGAGAAAAAACATCGGAAGGATTTACATTGTCCTTACTGTGAATACACTACTAAGCTAAAGTTGGCCTTTCAAAAACACGTGTGTAGAATGCACAAAGATCAAAATGAAATTGAAAAGAAAGTTAAAATCACCGTTAAAATGTATACGTGCCTTAATTGTGGTTACGCTGTTCCACAATTGTTGCATTACGAATCACATATTAAAACATGCAAAAAGTCAAAATTGAAATGCCCTGAGTGCTCTTATACCACAAGTAATATATCAGAACTTCACACTCATATAAAAGATCACAATAAACCAAATTTGATATGCACCTATTGCCCCTCTAAAGCAAAATGTCGCAGTTTGATTAACGACAAAACAAATTTCTGCCCATATTGCCCCTATTCTACTAAAAGAAATGGTTGCATTCAAATGCATGTTTATAACAAGCATAAGCAGCAAAACGAGGTGGAGAAAAAGTTTTTGATTACACATACAATTTTTAAATGTAAATTTTGTTCCTATGATACAATGAGTAGAAGTGGCTGGAAGTACCACGAGAAGATTTGCAAAGAGATTCAACCAGATAACAAACTACTTCAGCAAAATGTTGGGACGTGCGTCGAGGGAGGAGCCGCACTTATACCACCAACTATCGACTAGAACTTGTTCGTACATGTAAAAGCAGCTCAAATCTGTTAGTTTAGTCATTCAGTGGCTACATCTTGGGGGGAGTTTTAGTAGCATGTGTTGCAACTACATTTTTTAAATGACTTAAAACCGTGGTTTTAAATTACAGCACTTTTATTAAACTATTTGACAAAGTTTTTGGCCTATGAAAATTTGTCAAACTAAAAGTTTTTCCAACAAGCAAGAACTATAGTTAGGCTATAGCCTTTTATTAACCCATCATTGCTATGTGAGCACATCCTGCCTTCGTCAGAAAATAAAATATGACTCTTTCGGTCGAGGTCTCATTTGTTGAGTTGTCCGACAACAAATTTCAGTTACCTTTGATTTGGAGATTCCATTTTGATATCAGGTCAGAGTTTTGAAAGCAATCCCTCAAGATCTTATCAAAAATCCTAATTTGTTCGTTTAATAAATAATCAGCTTTTTCTCCTGAACTCTTTTTAGTTAGCAAACATTCTTAGGCCCATAATTTTGTCAATACAGGTTTTAACAATCAAATTGGTGTCGCACACATGCTTTTAAAACTCAATAATGCTGGTTAGTCGATGTTTTGCCCCCAAGTATGGTTTTGATTAAATTTTATAAGTTACGTTCTTATTAGGTTATAATTGTGTAACATGGTTAACAATAAACGCATTTTATTAATTTTGTATTTAGTTGTCAGCGTACAAAGAATCACGAGTACGATGTGATTTTGCACGTCTTATTTTTATTATTTACCTTGCTTTTTCCATCATTCAATGGATCGGCAGATGTTGACTTAAAACATGCTCTGCATCTATAGATGACACAAAAAGTAAATAGTTCTACAACCTTTCTTTCATAAAAACCACATAAACCTAGTTTTTCAATGTATGTTATTTGTTGTAGTAAACCACTGGCATTGGTGGATGGGTGTGATTCAGGACCAGGTCAGAAATTCACAGAAACAGACATTGAGACTATAAAAGAAATATATAAATGCAAACTCTGCAAATATATGACAGTGGATATGGTTAGGTATAAGATACATTTAAGGAAGTTACACTGCCCGTACTGTAACGTTGTTAAGAGAGATAAACATTTTGAAACCCACGTTATTTCCAAACATAGGGTACAAAACAATATCGAAAAGAAGGTTCAGTTTTCAGACAAGACGATTAAGCGTTATTTAAAGTTAAAGTATGTTTGTATGCAATGTAGTTACAGTACAACATGTCACAAAGAGCTGGTTAAACATAAGAAAGAACATTGGGAGGATTTACCTTGTCCTTACTGTGAATACACTACAAAGGAGAAGTTGGCCTTTCAAAAACACGTGTGTAGAATGCACAAGGATCAAAATGAAATTGAAAAGAAAGTTGAAATCACCGTTAAAATTTATACGTGCCATAATTGTGGTTACGCTCATCCAGATTTCGGGCATTACAAATCGCATATTAAAACATGCAAAAAATCGAAATTTGAATGCCCTGAATGCTCTTATACCACAAGTAATATATCAGAACTTCACACTCATATAAGAGATCACAATAAACAACATTTGATATGCACCTATTGCCTCTCCAAAGCAAAATGTCGCCGTTTGATTAACGGCAAAACAAATTTCTGCCCATATTGCACCTATTCTACTAAAAGAAATGGCTGCATTCAAATGCATGTTTATAACAAGCATAAGCAGCAAAACGAGGTGGAGAAAAAGTTTTTGATTACACATACAATTTTTAAATGTAAATTTTGTTCCTATGATACAATGAATAGAAGTGGCTTGAAGTACCATGAGAAGATTTGCAAAGAGGTTCAACCAGATAACAAACTACTTCAGCAAAATGTTGAGACGTGCGTCGGGGGATTAGCCGCACTTATACCACCGACTATCGACTAGAACTTGTTCGTACGTGTAAAAGCTGCACAAACCTGTTAGTTTAGTACATTCAGTGGCTACATCTTGGGGGGAGTTTTAGTAGCATGTGTTGCAACGACATTTTTTTAAATACCTTAAAACCGTGGTTTTAAATTACAGCACTTTTATTAAACTCTTTGACAAAGTTTTTGGCCTATGAAAATTTGTCGGCCTAAAAGTTTTTCCAACACGCAAGAACTATAGTTAGGCTATAGCCTTTTATTAACCCATCGTTGCTATGTGAGCACATCCTGCCTTCTTCAGAAAATAAAATATGACTGTTTCGGTCGAGGTCTCAATTGTTGAGTTGTCCGACAACAAATTTCAGTTACCTTTGATTTGGAGATTCCATTTTGAGATCAGGTTTGAGATTTGATGGCAATTCCTCAAGATCTTATCAAAAATCTTAATTTGTTCGTTTAATAATCAGCTTTTTCTCCTGAACTCTTTTTAGTTAGCAAACATTCTTAGGCCCACAATTTTGTCAATACAGGTTTTAACAATCAAATTGGTGTCGCACACATGCTTTTAAAACTCAATAATGCTGGTTAGTGGATGTTTTGCCCCCAAGTATGGTTTTGAATTAATTTTATAAGTTATGTTCTTATTAGGTTATAATTGTGTAATATGGTTAACAATAAACGCATTTTATTAATTTTGTATTTAGTTGTCACCGTACAAAGAATCACGAGTACGATGTGATTTTGCACGTCTTATTTTTATTATTTACCTTGCTTTTTCCATCATTCAATGGATCGGCAGATGTTGACTTAAAACATGCTCTGCATCTACAGATGGCACAAAAAGTAGATAGTCCTACAACCTTTCTTTCATAAAAACCACATAAACCTAGTTTTTCAATGTATGTTATTTGTTGTAGTAAACCACTGGCATTGGTGGACGGGCGTGATTCAGGACCAGGTCAGAAATCCACAGAAACAGACATTGAGACTATAAAAGAAATATATAAATGCAAACTCTGCAAATTTACGTCAGTGGATATGGATAGGTATAGGATACATTTAAAAATGTTACACTGCCCGTACTGTGACGTTGTTAAGACAGGCAAACATTTTGAAACCCACGTTATTTCCAAACATAGGGTACAAAACAATATCGAAAAAAAGATTCAGTTTTCAGACAAGACGATTAAGCGTTATTTAAAGTTAAAGAAGTATGTTTGTATGCAATGTAGTTACAATACAACATGTCACAAAGAGTTGGTTAAACATAAGAAAGAACATTGGGAGGATTTACCTTGTCCTTACTGTGAATACACTACAAAGGAGAAGTTGGCCTTTCAAAAACACGTGTGTAGAATGCACAAGGATCAAAATGAAATTGAAAAGAAAGTTGAAATCACCGTTAAAATGTATACGTGCCATAATTGTGGTTACGCTCATCCAGAGTTGGGGCATTACAAATCGCATATTAAAACATGCAAAAAATCGAAATTTGAATGCCCTGAATGCTTTTATACCACAAGTAATATATCAGAACTTCACACTCATATAAGAGATCATAATAAACAACATTTGATATGCACCTATTGCCTCTCCAAAGCAAAATGTCGCCGTTTGATTTATGGCAAAGCAAAATTCTGCCCATATTGCACCTATTCAACTAAAAGCAATAGCTGCATTCAAATGCATGTTTATAACAAGCATAAGCAGCAAAATAAGGTGGAGAAGAAGTTTTTGATCACACAAAAAGTTGTAAAATGTAAATTTTGTTCATATAATACAATAAATAAAAGTACCTTGAATTCCCATGAGAAGATTTGTAAGGAGGTTCAACCAGATTACATATTATTTCAGCAAAATGTTGAGATGTGTTTTAAGGAGGTAGCCGCACTTATCCCGCCGACTATCGACTAGTACTAGTCTTTAGCTCATAATTTTGTCACAACATGTCATTTGAAACCACAAACCTTTCAAACAAAAAATAAATACATTCTTAGGTAATACTTTATTGTAGTATTCAATGATTCCACATGGTCTTAAAACTTTCAAGTGTAGTTTTGGTTAAGAAAGTGAAACATTTTGTTAGTTTTAATGTTCTTATTAGTTTTTAATTATGTAACATGTTTAACAATAAACATTTTATTAATTTTGTATTTATCTACTATTACTCACAACGAAATAGGGAGCACTTAATTAAATTAGCATAACTTTTTAATAAAACTAGATACTTACTTGAAATTTGGTGACAATATTGAATATATATATATACCTTCAAAATAAATGTATACACGATGTATAAAAAAAATAATACAATTAATTTTAGAGAAGAATAAAAAATAAACAGATTTTGAACTTTTTATTTTTACAAAATTAAGCAAAAAAATATGTTTAATAATGGGTATGTCCTCCTCTAGCTCTTAGAACCTCAGCACATCTTCTGGGCATCGACTCTAATAGCTGGTCTATTAAATTTTGAGGAATGCTCTCCCATTCTTCTTGAATCATTATTGCCAGCTCTTGAAGGGTATTAGGGCTTTGGTGGTTATGCAAGCGATTTTTCATAATGCTCCAAGGATGTTCAATTGGGTTTAATTCGGGACTATTGGCTGGCCACTTCATAACAGTTAAATTTTGTTCTTCAAACAAATTTAAAACTGTTCGCGCCACATGTGGCCTAGCATTGTCTTGCTGTAGTATAAAATTTTGACCTACTTGATCTGCAAATGGTAGCACAATAAGTCGTAAAATGTCATCAATGTATCCCCTAGCATTTAAAGTTGCGTTATGAATAGTGTGCAAGGCAGTACAGCCATTCAAACTTATACCACCCCAGGGCACACTATTTTTGGTCCGGCCTAAATGTAAATTAACGTAACATTTTTGTTTCAGAAAGTCTCCAACACTGTGTTGCGAACCTTACTCAGAATTGGAGAAGGCGATGCCAAGACAAAAAGATAATGAACCGTTTATGATATGGCTTTTTGATGAAAGTGGAAACATACATAAGAAACTTAATTCTGACATCGAAGATTCCATTAGACATTGTTCTTATTGTCCTTTTACAAGCAAATGTCAGGATACACTTAATACTCATATCAAAATACATAAAATTAAGTCTTGCCCATACTGTAAATATACTAATAATTCAAACGTACGATTACAATGGCATGTATATTCAAAGCATAAGCGACAGAATGATTCAGAGAATAAAGTTATAATAACAGCCAAAATTTTAAATTGTAAATTTTGTCTGTATAGTACTTTAGCTAAAAGTAACCTTAATAAACACGAGAAGTGTTGTGAAAAAAATCCCCAATCCGATGAAATAGGAAATAAAATGAAATATATCAAACGAAACATAAAAAGGCACTCCAAATTTAAATGGTTTTGCCCCTACTGCAAACATTCTAACATCCAATGGCATACCCATTCGAACCAGGGGTCTTCAAACGATGCAGGGAGTAAATTTAGTGGTTCTTTAAAAGTTTTTAAATGTAACTTTTGTTTTTCGACTACACTGAGTAAAAGTTGGCTGGAGAGGCACGAAAAAGCACAGCAGAGTAAAATGGAGAATGACGTTAAAGATTCTCAAGACTGCCCTATAGTTACTTCCAAGTTTGCTTGTCCTTACTGTCACTATTCTACGCGTTCAAGTCGAAGTTTTCAAATGCATGTCCATACAAAGCACAAAAAGCAGAATAATGCCGAGAAAAAAGTTGAAATTACTTTTGTGGTTTTGAAATGTATGTTTTGTTCGTATAGTACTTTGGATAATTGTTTACTTAAAAAGCACGAAGAGGCTTGTAAAAGGAAGCTTGAGAGAATCGCTAAAATTTAATCGTTAAATGTATTATTTTTTTAATAAATCAAAATATTTTTAATATTAAGAGTTTTATTCGTGCACTAAATACTTCATTTTATTTTGATCAAATAATAAAACGGGCTTTTGTTGTAGAAAATTTCCTATCAAATCAAAAACAAAAGGAGAAAATCCCAGACAAACACGAATGAAAAAACATACATACCGTTGTGAGAAGTGTGGTTATGGTGTATCAAAGTTAAAAACATATATAGCGCACATAAAAAGGCAGTGCAAAGAACCACAAAAAAGTACAAATTAAATTGCACGCAATGTCCGTATTGCAATTTTAAAGTAAAAACAAACGTGGCATTGCAAGCCCATGTGTTTAGTAAACATAGGGGACTTAACGATATCGAAAAAAAAGTCGAGTTCACCTACAAAATATTAAATTGCAGTAACTGTACATATGCTACCATGGTAACAGCTACGTATAAAAAACACGTTCAAACCTGTTTAGGTCCCAAAATACAACCAGACATCCAATGTCCTTACTGTAAATACCAAACCAAAGATAGACAGGCGTTTCAGAGACACGTGTTTCGTTTACACAACGATCAAAACGAAATAGAAAAAAAAGTAAATATCACCATTAAAATTTATCATTGTCCCAAATGTGAGTACAGGCAACCGGACTCGGGACAATTTCGTAAACATGTCGAAACATGTTGTTCCATGGACATAATGCTACTGTGTCCTGAGTGTTTGTTTAGTACTGAAGATCAACTGGAATATATTACTCACATTCAAAGTCACTCTAATGACAAGGAATTAAAATGTTTTTACACCAATACGATTATTAAAACCGAAAATGATTAATAGTAGTATTAAAAATAAGGTTTGTAAGTAATTTTGTTCAGAGTTTATATTTTAAGGTAAATTTTGCAAACTTAAATGTGTATTTTTATTTTGGTTCCAGGCCCACAGTATTGATATCCTGGTATATGGGTCATCATACTATTAAGGCTCTCTGCCATTTGTAAGTTGCCTTAACAAAAATTAATAATTATATATATTTTTTAACCTATTTAAATTTATAATAAATGTTTAAACAAATTAATAATAATTGTTTTAATACCTGATAATAATAATAAATAGACGCTTATAAAAAACCGGGCAGGTGTCAAATTTAAAACACAACTGTCTTTGTTTTACTATCACAATTTCCAAATCTTTCATATACAAACCTTAACCTTTAGTTCAGAATTAGCTTTAAATATAAAAAAACTTGATATTGACAACCACTTTTTTTTAGGAAGAACTCCGACCTCACCAACGACTTGGAAGTCCACAAACAAATTCTCTACGAGAATCTGAAGGAATCGCCTAAAAAACCTCGAAAAGTTCGAAAGTACACCGAAGCTGAATTAACATGCCCTTACTGCAGTCACAAGACAAACCGCGCGCAAGACTTGCACAGACATGTTTACAGACAACACCGAGATCAGAACGAGGTTGAGAAAAAAGTGAAAATATCGTGTTCGATTTTTAAGTGCGATAATTGTACCTACACGACGGTGATACCGAAGTCTTTCAAAGCTCACGAGCAGATTTGCAAAAATTTGGACGCCCCTCTATTAGCGTGCATTCACTGTACATTCACGACGACGTTAGAACGCAAAATGCAACGACACGTTAAAACACATTTCACCAGTTTTAAATGCACGTACTGCGAATTTTCAACGCCCCTCAAGCAAATACTGCAACGTCACGTATTCAGAAAACATAAAGAACAAAACGACTTGGAAAATAAAGTTCGCATACACATAAAAACTTACTCTTGCGATGAATGCCCCTACAACACGGTAGCAAAATCGAGCTTCGTCTCGCACATGGTGTCGTGCAAAAAAAAACACGTCTTCAACTGCAATAAGTGCTCGTATAGCACCAACACGAATAAAAATCTCCAGTTGCACAATAAAACTCACCAAAATTCACCGTGTCAGTATTGTCAGCACGTTTCAAAGAACACTACCGCATTGCAGGAGCATGTTTTTTACAAGCATTTTGAGCAAAATGAAAAGGAAAGAAAGGTTAACCTGACCATCAAGATTTTCCGGTGTGGTTTTTGTGATTTTAAGAATTTAAATAAGAAAAGGTGCATGGCACATGAGGCAAAGTGTAATGGTAAAAGAAAAACATTTTGAAATAATTGTAATTATGTAACATTATTAGATTAAGTGTTTGGTATTATTTAAAACCATAGTGTATTAGCTTTAAAACTTAACTTATTCGAGTTTAAGAAGAAAAAGATCGATTTGAAATTTTTATAGCAATTATAATGCAATGTAAACTATTTTTTTAAATTATTTCCAATGCGTTATTAACTTTGGTTTGATATCCTGGTATATGGGTCATTATACTATTAAGGCTCTCTGCCATTTGTCAGTTGTTTGTAAATAATTTTGTTCAGAGTTAGGTTCAGTTTAGTATCTTTATATTTTAAGGTATATTTTGCAAACTTTAATTAACTGCATGTCTATTTTTATTTTGGTTCCAGGCCCACAGTATCGATATCCTGGTATATGGGTCATTATACTATTAAGGCTCTCTGCCTTTTGTCAGTTGTCCCTAACATTTCTTATTAAAAAAAAATGAGACAGCTAATAAAGAACTAGATTCATAAATAAGAACTTAAATTAACAAAAATTAATAGACAATTTTTCTAATATATATTGTGATAAAATGTCTGTAAATAATTTGTCAAGCGTGACCAAACCTTGTCACAAACCGCCTAAATAAAAACAGCTTTGTTATAAACTACACTAGAGTTTAGCATTGGATTCAAAATAACTCTGTAACCCATATAGTTTATAACTGTGGCACGAGATAGCGCCGCTGCAGGCAATGGTATCGCTATTGTTATTTTGCGCGTTACAAACAAGCAGTGTGTGTTTTTAAAGGTTTGTATGAAGGTAAGTATTTGCAGTATTTATTTTTTTTGCATGTAAAGTACACCAATTTCTTTCTTTTAAATTAATGCAATGTTTTATGTGCATTTATTGTGCCACTATTGTGAAAAGTGTAATGACCCATATGCATGATTTATATGGATTTAACATTAATATTTTTATTGTTTATATATTTAATAACCTATTTAAATTTATAATAAATGTTTAAACAAATTATTCATAATTGTTTTATTACCTGATAATAAAATAAATAAATAAAAAACCGGGCAGTCGCTAAATTTAAAACACAACCGTCCTTGTTTTTCTATTAGAGTTTCCAAATCTTTTATCACCCACCTTATTATACAAACCTTAACCTTTAGTTCAGTATTAGCGTTAAATATATAAAAACTTGATATTGAAAACGACTTTTTTTAGGAATAACTCCGACCTCACCAACGACTTGGAAGTTCGTAAACAAATTCTATGCGAGAATCTGAAGGAATCACCTAAAAAATCTCGAAAAGTTCACCGAAGCGAAAGTAGCATGCCCGTACTGCAGTCACAAGACAAAACGCGCGCAAGACTTGCTCAGACATGTTTACACACAACACCGAGATCAGAATAAGGTTGAGAAAAAAGTGAAAATATCGTGTTCGATTCATAAGTGCGATAATTGTACCTACACGACGGTGATACCGAAGTCTTTCAAAGCTCACGAGCAGGTTTGTAAAAATTTGGACGCCCCTCTATTAGCGTGCATTCACTGTACATTCACGACGACGTTAGAACGCAAAATGCAACGACACGTTAAAACACATTTCACCAGTTTTAAATGCACGTACTGCGAATTTTCAACGCCCCTCAAGCAAATACTGCAACGTCACGTATTCAGAAAACACAAAGAACAAAACGACTTGGAGAATAAAGTTCGCATACACATAAAAACTTACTCTTGCGATAAATGCCCCTACAACACGGTAGCAAAATCGAGCTTCGTCTCGCACATGGTGTCGTGCAAAAAAAAACTCGTCTTCAACTGCAATAAGTGCTCGTATAGCACCAACACGAATAAAAATCTCCAGTTGCACAATAAAACTCACCAAAATTCACCGTGTCAGTATTGTCAGCACGTTTCAAAGAACACTACCGCGTTGCAGGAGCATGTTTTTTACAAGCATTTTGAACAAAATGAAAAGGAAAGAAAGGTTAACCTGACCATCAAGATTTTCAGGTGTGGTTTTTGTGATTTTAAGAATTTGAATAACAAAAGGTGCATTGCACATGAGGCAAAGTGTAATGGTAAAAGGAAAACATTTTGAAATAATTGTAATTGTGTAAAGTTATTAGATTAAGTGTTTGTTATTATTTAAAACCATAGTGTATTAGCTTTAAAACTTTACTTATTTAAGTTTATGGAGAACAGAAATTTGTATAGCAATTATAAGGCAATGTAAACTATTTTTTAAAACTATTTCCAATGCGTTATCACTTTCGGTTAAACCGGAAGTGATATCAACTTTGGTTTGATATCCTGGTATATGGGTCATTATACTATTAAGGCTCTCTGCCATTTGTCAGTTGTCCCTTACATTTCTTATTAAAAAAAAATTGAGACAGCTTTAATAGAACTAGATTCAGGTTGTAAGTAATTTTGTTCAGAGTTAGGTTCAGTTTTATATCTTTATATTTTAAGGTATATTTTGCAAACTTAAATTTACTGCGTGTCTATTTTTATTTTGGTTCCAGGCCCACAGTATCGGTATCCTGGTATATGGGTCATTATATTATTAAGGCTATCTGCCATTTGTCAGTTGTCCCTAACATTTCTTATTAAAAAAATAATAGCGCCGCTGCAGGCAATGGTATCGCTATTGTTATTTTGCGCGTTACAAACAAGAAGTGTGTGTTTTTGCAGGTTATCTTTCGTCGCGGCATTTACTCGGTAAGTATTTGCAGTATTTAATTTTTTGTGCATGTAAAGTACACCAATTTCTTTCTTTTTAATTAATGCAATGTTTTATGTGCATTTATTGTGTAACTATTGTGAAAAGTGTAATGACCCATATGCATGATTTATAGGGATTTTACATTAATATTTTTATTGTTTATATATTTGATAACCTATTCAAATTTATAATAAATGTTTAAACAAATTATTCATAATTGTTTTAATACCTGATAATAAAATAAATAAATGAAAAACCGGGCAGTCGCTAAATTTAAAACACAACCGTCCTTGTTTTTCTATTAGAATTTCCAAATCTTTCATCACCCACCTTATAATACAAACCTTAACCTTTAGTTCAGTGTTAGCTTTAAATATAAAAAAACTTGATATTGACAACGACTTTTTTTAGGAATAACTCCGACCTCACCAACGACTTGGAAGTCCGTAAACAAATTCTCTGCGAGAATCTGAAGGAATCACCTAAAAAATCTCGAAAAGTTCGAAAGGACACCGAAGCGAAACTAGCATGCCCGTACTGCAGTCACAAGACAAAACGCGTGCAAGACTTGCACAGACATGTTTACACACAGCACCGAGATCGGAACGAGGTTGAAAAAAAAGTGAAAATATCGTGTTCGATTCATAAGTGCGATAATTGTACGTACACGTCGCTGATACCGAAGTCTTTAAGAGCTCACGAGCAGGTTTGTAAAAATTTGGATGCGCCTCTATTAGCGTGCATTCACTGTACATTCACGACGACGTTAGAACGCAAAATGCAACGACACGTCAAAACACATTTCACCAATTTTAAATGCACGTACTGCGAATATTCAACGCCCCTCAAGCAAATACTGCAACGTCACGTGTTTAGAAAACATAAAGAACAAAACGAGTTGGAGAATAAAGTTCCCATACACATAAAAACTTACTCTTGCGATAAATGCCACTACAACACGGTAGCAAAATTGAGCTTG